TTTCCCACTTAATAACCCCTGTGATTGGTATCAGACTTTAGTGGAACTACCAAAGGACAGTAATTGAATGGCTGGCACATTGCTGAAACAGATTCCCAAAACAACCTTGACATGATTTGTCTATTTCTTCAGTGGTTAAGAAACACTGCAGTGCTGTGGATACATCCAGTTCAGACATCATGGGGTAGGAGCTTGCTTTTTACTACTTCTCAGATGCATTCTTAAAACCTGCCTTTGAAGTTTTACAATAGTTGAACTGAAGTTTGAATTTACACTGAATGTGATACCTTAGAAAGCTTTACATGGCTGAACTTAAATAGGAGATATGGAAGACAGTATAAAACAAGGTAGAGTGGTAAATAAACAGAATACATGGAAAAAACACAGAATGACACTATTAGTGATATTAGTCCTAACAAAGACTACAAGGAACACTTTAGAGAAAGCACTATGCAAGACAACACACAGTTTGCATTTCAAAGACAGGGCTCACACATTTTAAATTACCTCCTAAAGCAGCTACTTATTACTTTTCCATGGTCTAACCATGAAAATATCACAGTGTTGCATGTGTTGATATACACTCTGGTATTAAATAACCCTAACCTGTGAGAATCCTGGTTAAAATCTTAGTAAGCATATTCAAACCATTTGAAACAGATATAGACATCATAAGTTTCCATATTTCTATATTAATATTTGCATAATAGAGGTTTGTGGTTAGCTGCCTACCAACAGTGAGAACTTTAAATATGCTCATTTAACACTGTCAAGACAACTTTCAGACTTGGGTGAAGGAAACAGTAAATGGCTGTATTTGTCCCAAGAAGTTTATTTTTGCCATGGATCACATCTATGAAAAGATCAGAAAGTTACAAAAAAATTATAATTAAAAATTATAAAAAAAACCAGTTACAAAGATGTACCATGGTCCATTACATGTTCCATATGACAACTTTATTACAGCAGTGGACCAGTATAGCAGTTACAAAAAGGAAATATCAAAAAGGAAATATATTACCCATAACTTGTTTTGAGACAGAATGCAACAATAGATCAAAATTATAGTATAGGAACATATTATTGTGTGACATGATTTGACAATAATTATTTTGAGGTTACAAAGGAAGAAAAGAAACTACTGTAACTTAGAATTTGATTTAAAAAAAAAGAAGTCATAACAAAAAGAAATTTGGCAATGGAAGTATTGCTATTATTTTTGGCTATTATTGATGGCTGTTTGGTTTTTATAAGTAGCAGCTGTATTTTTTTCTCATTATCAATATTAATGCCAAGGACTAGAGAATGCTAAGGTAGCAAGCACTGGAGCTAGACACTGTACAAACTTTTAATGGAATGACAATTTATACCCAAGAGACCTGACAGCAGAAGTGAAAGAGAACATAACACATGGGAAAAAAAAAAAGACAGTTGGGAAAGACATGAAAGCAGTAGGGAAAGCAGAGGTCTGGATAAACCTGTGATTCAAATTTTATACACTTTGACAGATCACACACTGATGAAGAGTTTTATGGGGGATTCAGGTGAAGATAACTAAGTAGCTTTGAAAATGTTTGCACATAGCTCTTCTAAGTATGAGAGAAGTCATAAGGTTCTTTCCTAGTAGATTTGAGAGGTAGTTGATGGAGACATTCACTATGAATAAATCTGTTCATTCTTTACAGTGTTGTTCAGTGAATGAGTGAACATGTATATTATAAGAAGCCAAAAAAAGGATTAAAAGAGAAAAATAATTTGAAACCCAGGAGTACAGTGCTTCTACAAATCTACATGAAAGAGAAAAACACAACACACAGTCATTTAAAAATATATTTTAATTAGCAAGTGGTAATCAAACTTGATTACTTTTATTAAGGAAATTATTCTCATATTTACTGTTCAGGTGTTTACGTGAGTGTTAGAAAATTTAACTAAAATGAAGATAAAAATGTAAACAAATTATATAACTATATAACTACAAACCTTAATTAGATTTCAAAGCACACTTACAGAAAATTTGAGACAGCAAAAAGGAGTTAAGCATGCACTTTTTAACAGATGGTGCTAGATTAGGTCACGTAGATATAATTGAGGTCAGAATTTGGCCACTGTAGGAACAGACCCTCTCAGTGAAAGAGGTGAATCCCTTCCGGTGTTTTTCATTAATTACTTGGTGCCATCCAGTCACAGTGTTGTCTGCTGTAGATCCTCTCACTAATTCCTTGTCCATACAAGCCTTTCTCTAGAATATTCTTTCATTATACCTACGAACAAAATTTCTCCTTGTAGAAACATTGATTTGTTTTTTAGCAGCAGAGACAAAAGCTTGTTAGCATCACCATTCATCTTAGCTACAGTCTCTAAGATAACAGTATTGGGGACAAACAGATAAAGGGCATTTCCACTGCTGATGTAGCAAGGACTGATATAAAACAACAGGTAATTTTTAAGAAAATGCAAAGAATTTTAAAATCCTAAAACCAATTTTAAGATACTTTATGTGAGAGACTGAACATAAATCAAGAGCCCGTGGATGTAGCAAAACAGACTTGCAGAGTTGTTTTGGACAGACACTGCTCAAATTATCCTTAGCTTTCAGCATGCAGAAAGCGAGTTTTATTGACATTGCTGTTGGTTTTATACACTGTAACTGAAAGCAGTGTTTGCTTTGTTTATTCGCATACAGTATAAAAATATATTAAACAGTATTGTACACAGTAAAGCAAGGACTCAAGATTGCATTTATTTCTAGTAGGAGTCATTCACATTTGAATGCCAGTTAGAAAGCGTGCACAGAAATCAAACCAACCAAATTTCTGCATGAGCCTCAAAGCATAATGTTATGCTGTTTCAAGTAATATAAAACATTCTCTCCACAGCTGTGCAGGCTCAGCCTGCAGATGAAACCATCACAGTCAATACTTACTTGAATGACATCCATATTAAAGTAGTTTTCTTTCATAACAGTCCATTTTATCTCACTAAAAGAAAACTGTGTTTGAAAACTATCATTAATGTATCCACTTTATTAATATGTTGGATTATATTTTTATTTTTACTTATTACTAAATTTATTTCCTGAAAATATTTTGTTCTATTTCCCTTCAACTAAGAGGATTTCTCTTCAGCTAATCTGGATCTGTGTTTTTGGCCCATCTCCCTTGACTAACACATTTACACAGAAATACAGAAAGTATTAAATAAGAACAGTAACAGCAGAAATAAATCAGCTAACAGTATTTACCTGACTAAAGGTTTCTCTAGATTACTTGTAGTTTTGCTTTTGGGAAATGGCTGAAACCAAGGCCAGACTATCACTGAAGTCAAACCCAATACTGTATTTCATTATTTTGTGACTTCTGTTACAAAGGAAAATACATTCATTTGTGGTAATCATTTAATTCCAAAGGTTGTAGAACGTTTTGTTACAATAAAAATAACATTGCTTTGGGTTTCTTAAACCAGCTTGGGTGCACTCACAATTTATATATGCCATAAGGTTTTCACACATGAGGTCCAAGTATCCCCTCTTAGCACAAACACAAGACCAACAACATTGCTGCTAAAATGTAATTGAGTTCAGCCCATTATATATTGAAAAGGACCAATGAGGACAAGCTAAAAGAGTATTAAAAAAAAAAAAAAGTTGATTTTATATCAACATAGAAGCAAAAGTCACATTTTTTCATTTTGTTCAGATATAATAGCTGGTTGATGACCAGTGGCTCCTTGTACCTAATCAGCCCTGAACACAAGCCAGGGAATTCTGCTTACAGCAGGTAAGCTTTCAGACCTCTAAACTGTCAGAGTGCTATGGCAATATGTCAAATGGCTTTAAACAATTGCTAATTGTTTATCATGAAAAGCTTGAATGGCAGGGGCAGAATTAAGAAATTACTTGTTGTAAGTTTTATGACTTCTGTAAAGCAAGGCTTTTCACAATTTTTTAAATAAACTATTTGTCTGTAGTAGGTCCCAAAGCAGCCCTTCTTAGGTCTCTGTGCCATACGGCACTTTTGACAAAGAAAGACATCCATGTGCATCCACAGGTAGCACATGAAGATGCTGCAAGTGGATCTCATGAGCTTAGGGGGAGATTGCTCCCACCCGGCAGCCCTGCTGCTGCACAGCCTTCCCACACCACTACAGCTCAGCTCCCACACTCCAGCACCACTGGCAATCTCATGGGCAGGTCGGGGCCCTGCACAAGCAGGCTGGCAGTAACACATATCCAGAGTCAATAGAAAAGCTGTAACAAAAGCAGCATAGCCAGCAGGTTGAGGGAGGTGATTCTGTCCCTCTAGTCTGCCCTGGTGAGATCCCACCTCAAGTAGCACATCCAGCTCTCTGGGATCCCACCACAGGAAGGAGCAACCTGTTGGATCAAGGCCACACCAGGCTGATCAGAAGGATGGAGCACCTCTCTTAGGAGGAAAAGCTGAGATAATTGCAGTTGTTCTGCCTGGAAAGGCTTCGGGGTGACCTAATTGCAGCTTTCCAGTACCTGAAGGGAGCTTACTGGAAAGATGAGGAAGACTATTTAGAAGTGCATGTAGTGACAAGACAAGGGGAAGAGGTTCAAATTTAAAGAGAGTAGGATTAGACTACGTATTAGGAAAGAATTCATACTGTGAGGGTGGTGAGGAACAGACCATTCAGGGAAGGTGTCCATGTCTCATTCCTGGAAGCTCAAGACCAGGCTGGGTGGGTCTCTGAACAGTTTGGTCTACTGGATGGCGTCCTTGCCTATGAAAGGGGGGTTGGAAGTAGGTGATCCCACCCAAACCATTCTATGATTCTATTCTATTTGTGGGCGCGGGCCTCGGCCTTAGCTGAGAGTTTAGCTTTTCCTTGCTACGACACCGTTTCGGTGACTGCAGAGCCTGGCGCCGGGCGGCGGGCAGCAGCGCCGGGCCCGCCACGCTCGCAGCGCCCGTGGGCAGCGCGGTCACGGCCGGGCCGTGCGCGCCTGCGCCGTCCGCTCGGAAGGCGGCGGAGCTGAACGGGGCCGGGCCGGGCCGGGCGGCGATGGCGGCGGGACGCGGCGGGGGCTGGCAGGGAGTGGCGGTCGCGCTTCTCTTGCTCGCTGCGCTGACGCCGGCGGGCGCCGCCTCAGCTGCCGCTCTGCCTGTAGTCATCAACACCTGGGCGTTCAGGACGGCTGCAGAGACAGGTGTCCCGGCGGGGGCCTGGGCTGCAGCGGGGCGGGTGCGGCGGTGCCGTGCCGCGCCGCGCCGCTCCGTGCCATTCGAGAGCGCCCGCTGCTGCGGGGCCGCTGGGCGGACCTGGGTGTTGGTGCTGGCTAAGGAAACACGAGTCTGAGCCGTGGCTGGGCTGAAAGTGGCCCGAAGGAGCGGGCTGTGACCCGGCTGCCAGGCGGCGCTGGCTGCGGAGGGCCCGGGCTCTGCTCGCCGCGCTGCCCCGCCACAGCTCGGGCGGGGAGGCGGCGCGAGGTGCCGGGACGGCTTGGAAGGGGTTATCCTTCCTATGGACGGGCCCCGCGCCGGAGCTTGCCTGTCCTTCCCTCTGCCGCTGGCAGCCTGCAAACAAATGGTTTCACTTTCCACGATGGGAAATAACACTAAAAAGCCCGACCAAAATCCACATAAACTAAAGGGGGGAGTTATGAACTGCGGGAAAGCTAGATCAAAGACATACTTTTGTTAATGATATGGTTTGCACTGTTGTGCAGTGTTATTTAAAGGTTTTGGTTTGTTTTTTGGGGTTTTTTGTTTGTTTGTTTGTTTGTTTGTTTGATTCCTCTAAAGAATTAGGTAGTTGTATTATTTCTTTGAACCTCTGTTGTTTTGTGATGTGTTATTGACAGTCAGAGCAGGCTTTCCTATACATACGTTAGCTGTGAATAGTAATTTTAAAAGACTTACAGATTATTTTATTACTGCCGAGTTGTAAATAGCCCCTTACTACAGAATGCTTGCTTGTGAAATGGATTACCAATAAAGCCTTGTAATGGTCAGAAGTGAAATACACTTACGAAAATTGCAAGGCCCTTGCTTTGCAGCTTCTGAAAACCTAAGGCTACTCAGGGCAGTAAAGGTAATAGTAATCAGACCATACTCATACTGAAGTTTGTAATAGAGGCAAGCGTATGTGGAGTTGGATGCATGGTATTAAGTCTTATATTTTCTCTGGTGCAGGCGACTTCATGTAGTAGTCGTGAAGCATCTGTGATGATTAGGCTGCTCTGGCATATGCTGCCTCCCCTGTGCTGGGTCTGTCAAGTGACAGCACCAGAGCCAGCACAAATAGGAGTGTGCAGGACTGTAATTATCAGTGGGAGCAAGCTCGAGCACCTTAGAAGATCTTGCCTGAGGTCCATCCTTGTGAAATCTCGTGTGTGCAATGCCTTCAGGCTCACTGTATTCAAGTCATGTCGTTTGACAGGTCTGCAGTGTCTTACAAAGCTGCACCATGATCTAGATCCTGAAGAACAGAACACCAAGGGTTGAACAGGAGAATGTGGAGACTTAATTTCTTGTGTATAATTTTCACTTTGCTTTTGTGCTTATGTAGTTATGTGCCTACGATGTAGGTTTATACCTTTTTATTCTGCAGTTAGATACTTAATATTCTCATACAAAGATTTTGAGGGCAGCTTTTTTTTGGCCTTTTCTTTACTTTTTTTGAGTTGGAAGATTTTTTTTTTCCCCTCTTTCTTCTCCCAGAAGGCTTTTAACAAGCAGTGGTAAAGTAATGATTGGTTCTGGACAGAGGAGGGTAATTGATATAGAGAACTTGTGATAATAGTTAATAAATAATACCTTAGTCAAAAGAAAAACTTGGTTTCTCAGTCAGAAACACTAATCAGATACACAAGGAAAAGAATATTTAGAAAAGTGAATAGTGAATTTAGAAAATATTGCCAATTATTTTGGTTATAATTTTACTTCATAATCTGTAATTTATAGTTTACTGCTTTTTATCTACTTATGTAGTGCACCTCAATGATGTCCATTTTTAAGCAGCAGTGGAAGCTCTTTTCCCTAGTGACATTTAATTATTTGTGTTGATTACAGCTTGGAGAGTATTAGAGTCAGGAGGTTCAGAGCTGGATGCGGTCGAGAAAGGCTGCAGTCAGTGTGAGATCGATCAGTGCGATGGGAGTGTGGGATACGGAGGAAGCCCAGATGAAAGTGGAGAAACAACTCTGGATGCAATGATTATGGATGGGTAAGGAAACTGTATGGAGAAAAGAATGATCCCTGCTGTTATAAGTGACTCAGACCCCAAGTGGGAATACATTATGTAAGTTTTATTGAGAACAATAAAAAAGTTCACAAGCCAAAAGGAACAGTGCTGGGAGCATGGCCCAACGCTAGAGGCTCATCCACAAAATGGCAGCTCTGTGTTTTATACCCCGGTGTTCCATCAGCTTGCTGCATATTTATTTTGATTTTACATAGTCTTGCCCCATGTCACTCTCCTGGGTGCCGATTCAGTTTCATCACTGTGGTCCTTAGGGCCATCAACTCAGGAGCATGAGTTCTGCTCCTTTTAAGGTCGTGTCTCAAAGGTTTGGCCAGCAACAGTCTGTCCAGTGTAAACTCGCAACCCCCACCACAGTACACAAAACAATCCTTGCAAAAACCAATCTCTCAGCTAGGCCACTGCAACATCAACCTCTCCACAGCATGTATCACTATATCAATATTGACAACATCATAATTTTTAATCAACAATATAATTAATAATATCAATTCATACAACACCCAGTGAAAGCCAACTTCCACTAACTTTTTTCTCACACCTGCCATTTTTAGCATACTTAAGGGTTGTTACAAGGTCTTGGCACTTTGGGGCTGACTATGGGACAAGCTAACTTGTGCGACAAGGAAAAATAACATACCTGATTGTTGAAAGAGTAGGAAATGACTCTTCACTTGTAGTGCATTAATCCAGTTCTAGCTATAGTGGTTGAAACAGATGGTTTGTAGCATTGTTAGCTTTCCCTTTACATTCAGTCCATAAATATTTCACTTTCGGAGCAATTGTTTTCAATAATTTATTTGCTTTTTAAAGCTTTCGTGATTAAAAAGTAATTGCAAATGTGTGGTTCATGTTATGAATTTAGGTAACAAAATAGTTACTCTAGTAAAAATATTACTGTGAATGGAAGTACTGTTTCACCATGCCTGTGAAAGGAAACAATATATGTAGGAAGTCTTTCCCTACTAATGTAGTGACATTTGTCTGTGACATAGAACAATTAAAGCATTATGTTAAAGGAGCAAGCTTTTTGATTTAGATGAGAACACATTTTGTCTAGTAAAAAATGTGCAATTATTCTTGTTGTTACAATAAGTTTTAAATATTCCTTGTTTCCAGCAACACTATGGAAGTTGGGGCTGTTGCGGATCTCAGGCGTGTGAAAAATGCAATTGGTGTAGCACGAAAGGTCATTGAATACACTAAGCATACATTACTAGTGGGAGAGTCAGGTAATTATTGCTTTAACTATTTCCAAGTCAAACCCTCATTTTAAAACACTTCATAATAAAATTGCCATGTTTTCATCTTGGTGGAAGAATTCCTTGACAATCGATTCAATCTACTCAAATAGTTCAAAAGTGTATATTCTTTCATTTTGTGTCCATGAAATAGGTTTATTTTTAGACAGAAAAAATAGTTGTATGTTTTTTTTCTATCAGCTTAACTGCAAATATTGATTTGTAATCCCAAGGCTAATATCACTGATATCCAAGTTGCCAAAGATGATTTATTAACACTATAGAAACTGTTAGAATGTAAATGTTGCATTTAAAACCATTAAGTAACTTTTTCTAAGGAATGACAGAATTTATAGACACTGAGTTAAATTCTAATATTTTGGTATATATTGAGTGTGATTAGAGTATTTCGTAGTTTAAAAGTATTAGTGAGTATGAGTGCTTAAATGTGAAAAAAGATCATTAGAGGCTGTACTCCCAGGCACAACAAAAGAGCAATAGCAAGTTGGAGGGTTAGTTGAGCATTTTGAATACAGGCTCCTGTTGCTAGAATAGTACTAGTTTCAAAAAGAGCTGTTCATTCCCCAGAGGAGTGTTGAGTGGTGAACAGGTTTCTTGACTTTTAAGAAACCTGCTCTGAGCCTGTAGCTGCTCCGAAAGAAATACACAGATAAGTGTGGAAAATTACATCTAAGCATTAATGGTGATTCAAGTGCTTCGAAATTGATAAGAAAAGATAAAATATTCTTGAAGTAATTTGCATGTGCAAAAGTGCACAAGCAATTTTTTGATGGAGTGAAGTGGAACAATTTTGGGAGGTGAGGATACAATTTGACCGAAGGTCTGAATAGAGAAACCTGTAGATTCTTTTTAATTTAAGGCAATTGACCATGATGATGAGTGACTTTTCTAAAAGAAATTTCACATGTAGTGCAGAGAAAGAAATTGGTCAGGTGTTGAATAGTGGAGGGAGAAGTACTCCTAATACTCATTTGCCCCTCACTGCTAGTTACCATAGTATTTTTAAGTCTTAATCGGGAGAATGAACAGAAAGGATAAGGAAAATGAAGAAACAGAAGGATTCAAGTGTTGATTTAAAATACATCTTCCAGCCTAAGAAGATACCTCTTTGCCTAATGGAGGCATGTGGAGAAGTTTATTATGCTGAATACTTATCGTCAGTGATAGCTTGCTCAGAAGAAAACATATAGCAGTAATGGCAAAAGAAAGATGTGAAAGCTAGAGATTCATCTGAGTAAAAATTTGAGATGGTATTTAATGTTAATGAATTAATGAAAGCAGTGAAGAAATTGAGAAAGACTTTCTTTTGAAGAAATGTATTTTTGTGAAAACTGGAACTTGGATAAGAGAAACTCTGGTTGTCTTTACCAGGTTAAGATGAATAAAAATAAAATCTATATGAACCTTCAAACTGGATGTGAGAGAACTAATAGAAATACTTGTATTTTTAAATAGAAATACTTGTATTACAGAAAAGATGGCTAGAACAGTAATATCTTTTCATATAAATGCATGCAATCTCTTCAGGCATTTTTTATTCAAGATGCAAAATTAGGAACTCTGCTTCCTGGAATAGAAACAATGTTTCAAAAACTATGAAAGAATTCCTAACAAACATGCACAAGCACAATTTTATCTTAAAAAAAAATAACAAATAAAACCCCCAAATTCTTCCTCTTTGTTCTATAAGTAGGAAAATATTTATCTAATTGAAGCTGTCAGTTTTCTTTTCCTCTAAGTGCTGATACTTGTGTCAGTTTTTATGAAAAACTTATAAAAGCAGTCCAGAAATAATTGAAGGCTTCTCTTAATTCTTGGATTGGATAAGTTTGTTCAGCTGTGTACTGTAGTGATATTATTATCAAGGATTGATAATATAAATTCAAGCATCTGAACCTAGCAATCATATCTGTTACTGGGTAATATCAAAGGTATCTACAGCTAAAAGATGATAGAAGAGTTGATATTTTTTCTTTTCCCTTTGCCTAATGATAAGTCATTCTTAGAAGTGTAACATTCTTTCCATGCTTGTGTCGGTATTTCTTTTGCTCTCTTGCCACATACTATATTAATTTTCAAAAAAAGGAAGCAGTCACTTCTCAAGCTGCAAGGACAAAGTGGATTGCTTTCTTCAGGTATTAGTTTTAATGGCAAACGTATTGTTATGTTATTTATATTTGATAAAAACTTGCTTTTTAAGGAAAATACACTTATATTTGTAGGACTTATTTATTTCTGTGACGCACACAGGCTAGGCCATTCTTGCTTCACAGTCTTAATTGTGTCCAGTTGATTACCAGAGTTGAATTTGTTTCTCTTTCAATGGGAAAACTTTTATGTCACTGTCTGTGAAGCGAGAGTTGGCTACTGGAGTACATCACTAATGGCTGATACTGCTGATACTGCTCCCTGAGGATGTGTTTCTCATCCGCCAAAAGGATGTAGAACTTCTTCATTTCTAAAAAAACAAAATATGAATACATTATCATAAAACCCATAAAACTGCAAATAAATCAATGTTTCTTTTTTATTTTGTTCTTGCTTTTCAAGCCTCCCTGTTTGCTGTAAGAATGGGGTTTCCATATGAAGATTTAACTACCCAGAAATCCCTTTCACTGTATTCAGAGTGGCTTAATCAAAACTGTCAGCCAAACTACTGGAAGGTACAGTGAAGTGATGGCAGTGAAGGGGGGATTTAGAAAGTCAGTAGTGCTTCTTCCTTTCAGCTTATATTTGAAGAAAAAAAGTTTTGCTTATTAGACAGAAAAAAACTTGGTATTACTAAGCACTTGCTAGACTTGGGAGTGTATGTCTCTAGTTATTATTTCTTAGATCCTGCTGCTTTTGACATTGCTGCAGTAGTGTTTTGGTGTGGGAGTTATTCTTTAGTTCTTAACTAGAACAGGACTTACCAAAATAAACAAAAAAAAAAGATGTATTTTTGATGCATGTATAAATTTCTGAAAGAAAATCTTACAGTAGTAATTAAGGTCTTTAAATAGTTAGTTGAGAGGCTTTATGCAGACCTGGGAGTACATCAGGTTAGTGTAGATGTCCATTAAACTTGCCTGTTGTGGTGAACTTGGGTTGGTGTTTGAATGTGGCATTTTTTTGCTTTGTGTGTACAGATTTCTACATGTTTGTACACTGGTTTGGGGTCTTTTTTTGACCAGTCAGTTGAGCAAAAGAGAATCTTTAATTTCAACAATGTAACTTTCCCAGGAAAATCTTTTTATTGTATAATACAGAAATTAGTCTTTATTCATTAGCAAAACAATTTGTGGGATCTCAGTACATCTCTGTGGTTTAAGTACTAGGCATCTAATGCCTTTGTGGAAGATTATAGGTATTGATTGGAGTGTTTTTTAATTTATGTGTGTTGAATATGCTATATTATTTATGCAAATCACAAACTGATTACAGAACGTGGTGCCAGACTCTTCAAAATCCTGTGGACCATATAAACGGCGTGAAGAAGTAACTTACAGAGAAGAACACACCAGCTCACAGAGAAGTGTTCATAACCATGATACTATTGGTAATAACTTCTGGTAACTCTGATGCTGATCTTTTTGTTTCTCGTTCCTCTAACAATTAAATCATACTTACTTAAAGAAGAGTATTTCATATAGGAATTATTTCCTGTTTATAGTGTTTTCAAGATTTTGTTACTTATGTGTTAGGATGGAGTGCCTAAAAGTAGGATTTGGTTTTGTTTTTTTTCAAGTTCACTGGATGCACAAGCACTTCATTTTTTGCCATTAACTCTTGTTCATTACTCTGCTGCTTTTCCCACAGATACCTTGGCATAATTGTTTGGGCAGCTGTGGATGCTTAGGAAACTGACTAAGTTAAAAATAATTATGTTTGTCTTGATTGTAGTGCCCTGTCAGACCAACTTAAAAGGCATTTCAGTGGTAGAAGAAATGAGTATACTATTAGTCCTGTTGCCAACTAAAAGCAGTGGTTTTATGCTCTTTAAGCTTATGAAATAAAGTATGCTTTCATTTTTCTTCTATTCTGCCTTTTTTCTAAATCAGTAAATTTCTACAGAAACTAACATTAAAACAAGTTAGCAGTAGTAGCCCCAAAAGCTTCTAATAGTTTACTGATTGAGGATTGTTAATTGCTAAGACTGTAAGTTGATTAATGAGCAGATCAGACAAAGGACTAGAGCAGTTACAGGTTCATATCTTTCATATCTATACTTTGTAGTCTTGAAACTTGCACTTTTTGGTTTAGTTTGGATTTTTCTCAGTTTAAGAGTAACTTTTTATCTGATGGTCTTTACAATATCAAGAGTTAACAAGTTGTTTCAAGTGTTAATCTTTCTTCTTTGTTTCTAGTTCACCTTGATCAATTGTCTACAGAAGTCAGGTGACTTACCAAATTCCTAAGTTGATAACTAGTTTACTTACTCGGGTAATTTAGTAAGTGCTGGAAAAGTAAGAAATTATGGAGTGTCAGGAGAGAGGAATCTGATAAATACAATTCAAGAATTGATCTATCATTAAGTATTAGTATTTCAATTTCTCCCACCCCATTGTTTTACATATGAAATAATTCTCTGAGTAGCACATTTTGAGAAGAATCTTCATTCAGCAGGCATTTAGGACATTGGTAGGAACCTTTTTGCAGAGGCCATTGGGTCTGTGCCTCTGTGATTTTAGCTCCTACTGGTCGGGAAGCTTTTCTATGAGAAGAACATACTGCTTAGTGAGGTCAGAAAAACAGAATTCAGCTCATCAATTTCTGCTTCTTGGCTCTCAGTTTGTACTGAAGTTTTATCCTAGCAGCAATTCATGCCCTCTCCTGCTTTATGGAGGTAAATTTTTGCTCTGTGGAGAAGAACTGATTCCAAATCTGATTCCAAGTGACAGGCTAAACTTCTTTAGTATGAGGCAGTGGCTTTTTACCAGCACAAAATTAGCAAGGGTTGTCCATACATTTGGTTGTCCATCGTTTAGTTCTAGTTACTTGGTAGGCGATATGTCATCTTCTGCCAAATTTAAACTCATGCTTCTGGTTTGTTTTTTTTTAATTGCCTTCAAGTACCATTTATAATTTATAAACTTGTTGCTCTGATGGTATTGGTGCTTGATGTGGTGACACCAGGTGTTTGTTCTCTACTAGTTAACAAAGATGTGTATCAGGAGGCAGTAGCTACTTAGGCAGCAGTAACATATGGCTCTGAACAGTGTGGCACTCAACTGTTTGACATTCCTTTTTGAGCTCTTGTAATAGACCATAAAAATTTTCAAATATCTTTTAAAAAGTACTTGTTTCTTAAAGAGTACAACTCTTGTATTTCAGGATATCAGTAATTTGAATAGTCTGGCATTTGTGGTTCTGTTTGATAAGGGTAGTGTCAACTAAATAAATATGCTAGTAGTGTTCCTGAATATGTTTTGTCCCTGTTGAAAATCTTAGGTATGGTTGTAATTGGTGTGAGTGGAACCGTTGCTTCTGGGACATCTACTAATGGTGCAATCCACAAACTTCCAGGGTTAGTATCTCTGATTTTGCAATAAAGCTTTTTTCCCCACCTTATTTCCTATGTTAAACTTGTCATTGGGGCTTAAAATGTTAACCTGTAGATCACAAAATGGCTTTGCTTTTTTTTTGTGCACTTGTCTTAAATCATGATACTGAGAAACTGATTCAGGTGCAAAACTACATGTTGCATCTGAGGGAATGCTTGTTTTTCAACTTGCTTAATTCACCATAGACACAAACAACTGGCACAGTTGTGAGACGACTTGTAAGGCAAGGCACCAGGGACAAATAAGCATTTTGGAGATGCACACAGTCTCCTAAGAAATGTACATAAAATCAGAGCCTCGGGCTTGTGTTTTGTCTTTTAGATACTTTTTCTACACAGTTAGGATTATTGTCTGTCAACCAAGTCAGACAACTTCTGGATTTACAACAAGTTATTGAACATATTAATGTCCCCAGCTGCTTACTGTTGCCCACAGGCTAAAGCTCACTGGCTTAACTATAGTCAGTATAAAAACAGACAGTTATGCATTGGTCGTGGATTAAGCCTCAGGTCAGTCAGGTTATCACAGATCATTTTTACAGGTAGTTTTAAAACAAGACTTTTGACTGCAGTGGATTGACCTCTTTACCTGGTCTGTTCTCCTGTGGGTTTAATGCTAAGTCAGCTGGAGGCAGTAAGGCTGACAAAGTTTGGTTTTTATTTTCCATTGTTCACTACAGACGTGTGGGAGATTCTCCGATAGCTGGAGCAGGATCTTACGCAGATAGTACAGCCGGAGGAGCTGCAGCCACTGGGGATGGTGACATCATGATGCGCTTCTTACCCAGGTTTGTCCTTAGGGCAGACTTTGCTAGATTTCTGCAGCAAAATGTGGACTCAGCAAATGAAGAAATTGATTAAAAATTTGAACTACTTAGTGGCTGCTGAAGTGGGAGTAAAGGAAGGAGTGGAAGGGGAAAAGATAGTAGCAGAACCAAGTTACCCTTATTATCGTATTACCTGTCTTAAAAGAAGAGACTTAAATATCTTGATGACAGATTCCTTAATACTTCCAAGCTGTGAGCAAACAGGCAGCAGGTAATATTTCCAACCTGTATGCTTTTTAGCAGAACTGATTAGCTTTCTTCTCCAAAGCATTTTGTTGTGTGGGAAAGTATCATAAATTGTAGAAAGAATGAGCTATGGGTCTCAGCTCACTCAGGAGGTATCGCTGCAGCAGTTCTTTGTAATTGCATCTAATTTGAAACTGAAAGAGGTGTTTTAGTGTTGTCACAGTGGTTTCATAAACTGTGTAAGAAATGGCTCTCTTCGTGAGCATCCTCGTGGGTTGGACTCAGCTGGAATCAATTATGGAAGTCCATGCTGAACATAATGGGCACTGATGCTTGAAGGATAATACAGAAGTGGCCTTCATAATTGCTCAGGCAACTTTTCTGAAACTCTGGCAGCCAAGAAATGCTAGCTGTTGCATATTTACAGATGTTGTCAGTGAATTTCAAGCTGTTCTGAGTCGATCTTTCAAATGCAAGGCAGTTGACAATTTACTGAATTATCTGTCTTTTCATATAAGATACCAAGATGAGTAGTGAGTTGTTCTCCACTATAAGTTTAGTCAGTAAAAGCTTAAATTGCACTTAACCAGCCTGAAATGTTTGCCTGTAATGCCTAAAACATTTAATGTTGGTACCAGTGGGTTAATCATCAGACTAGGTGATTAATTACTGGTTCCTTATAGATAAAGATTTTTACTAATTCCATGCTATTTAGCTATTCCCACATGAAAACAAAGTCAAGAATTGACTTCCAGAAGTGAAGGAAGTGTCAAATAAAGGGCAAAATTGTGAATAATTTCCGTATGCCTTTGTTATGGTGGTAACTTCTTGTTGAGTTTTTGATTAGTGAAGAATGAAATACAGCTTTATTTTCAGATAGTTATCTTTAGATAACTTGAACCTATTTGATTTTTAGAACAAATCAAAGATGATAGGGAGTCTCGAAATGCAAGAGTTTTTCTTTTCTGTGGTACTTTGATAACATCTGTAATTAATGCAATCTGTAGATGTCTTAGTGTAACAAGTTTGTCTTGGTATATGCGTCTTTCATCAAAGCGATAAAATGTTGTTTGCTTGTAAGTTATGTCATGAGTTATTTAATCTTAAGGTTCTGAAAGAAAACGGCAACATAAATAATTTTTTACCTCAGGACATTTTGGAAATGCAACTGGTTCATCTCAGGCAATTTCTTTCAATATAAAGGAAATTGATTTTGATTACTCTTAGAATAAGAGGTTTTTTTAAATCACTTTGCAAAAAGTTTGAAAGTAGAAGCCACTAAGTCTTCTAAGCCACTGCTCCCTGCAGTTCTTTAACTGATCTTTTGCTTAGCCTCTTCTATTGCAAATGATCAGAGTTCTGTCTTGGTTTGGCCTGCCATAGAATGATCCATGGTATAGATGTCATGTTGTAGTCCCTTTTAGTCTTGTTTTTAATTGCTTTTTGTGTACAATTTGAGTAATAATTGCCAATATGAAGTTGGTAAAAAAATTTATCAAGTGTTTCCATTATTCAAAGAAACCAGGGTCTCTTCTGTGGTATTTTAAATTATATAACCTAAATATGACTAATTTTCTGGGAATGTGGTTTGGTTTTTTTTTAGTTATCAAGCTGTGGAATATATGAGGATGGGAACAGACCCAACAGTAGCCTGTCAAAAAGTTATTTCCAGAATCCAGAAGTACGCTCCAAAGTTCTTTGGTGCTATCATTTGTGCTAATACAACTGGAAGTTATGGTATGTATTTTGTTTTGCAGACAAAGTTGCTTGACTCTAACTAGGTCAGAGATGTACAAAACTGAACATAGATTTTAAAGAAGTCTTTAATTATTCTTTGGAGAGTGCAGCAGTACTGGCCATTCACAGTATGGAATGCTGGGTAGCAGGGCAGCTGTGTCCTATTGCAGACTGGAGATAATTTAATTTTGCATCTTGATGTCTTAGACTTTCACAAAATTTATGGAAGTCTTAGCAAAACCCAAAAATATTTACAACCTTCATTTGTTTTCCTGGACTGTATATGATTAATTTGAAGGTTTTAAAAAAAGACTGCTTTGCCTTCCCTAGATATGGCATAAGGGAGGGAGAATAGAAATGTTAAGCGTAGCTTCAAAGTGATCTAAGAGTAGTCATTGTGCCAGGCATCTCATTAGTGAACTCTTAGATCAGTAGGAAGTACAATTTGCTAATCAATGTGGATTATTTAGTTAGTCTGCTTTGCTTATTCTTTGATCTCTTACTTCCTGTAGTTCTGTGTTTAAGAGATTAGTATTGAAGGAACTCATTAAATTAATCAGGATTGAAATAGAGAGATTTTCCTGACTTTTGTTAGTGTTTTGAATTGTACTATAAGGGCATTAGTTGGACTACAACAGCCAGTAGTATTGTGTTTTAACTTAAAAATTAAATACTTTCAAGATGTCTTGGGTTAAGCAGATTGTAAAAGAATAATTATACCACTGTATTAGAATTAGTAACTGTATCTTTAGATGATAAAACACAATGACAGAGGCATTAATCCCAAATGTAGTAAATTAGAATATTTTTCTTTTTTTCCTAGGTGCTGCATGTAATAAAATTCCAGGATTCACTCAGTTTCATTTCATGGTTTCAAGCCCTTTGCTAAGTCGACCAACTGAGCAAGTAGTAGACTGCATTTAACTTCTTTTGTCCTATTAGCATCTCAACTTAGAAGAGGACGGTGCTAGGTTCCCCCAGTTATTCTTAAAAATGGTTGTTTCTAGCATTTAATGGCTATTATGGTCTGCTTGTTTTCCTAAGAACTGGGTAGCCAGAAGTGATGAATAGTAGCCATTGAACAGGCCCTTTGCCTTGCCATTTAAAAATATATTTGCCAGACATCTGGAATAAGAGGCTGGAAGTGGAACTATGACTCTACACATAGTTGTAGAGTCATAGTTCCATAAAACTTATGTTGAGAATATTTGGCTTTCTAAAATTTAGTCCATGTTTTCTTTTCTCTTTCTTTTCTCTGAAAAGAAAATTGCATGAAAATGTTGGCATGCAAGGAAAGGGCCTTGAGGAGTAGTGGAGACTATTTCAAAGATTTAATGAAGAGATAAGAAGTCCTTATGGACCATTCTAACTTTTTCTACAACAGCTGAGAATACATTTGAATGAAGATTACATGCAAGCATCCCTGGTAGTACAAACCTTCAAAAAATTTTGGTTGACTGACTGGATGTGAAGACAATTGGAAATCATCCTGTCATCTGTTTTTTGTAGTGAAAATTAAGTTATGAACTATGGTGAAGGAAATCACTTGTCAGTAATAGGCTGTGCATTCACCCTGCCCTACAGCACATTAACCTCTGCAGAGGAGCAGTAGAATACCTAGAGTGTGACAGTAACCTACAGCCTTGGATTTTGTCACTTTCTGTGTCTAGAGACACCAGGATTCATTTATAATGGAACTTTAGCATCATGAGGGTTATTCCACAGGTATTTGAAGATGTGTTTGATCATTCTCTTAAATTATTGGCTTGCTGATCTGATGGAATCTTTGCAAAACTTGAGCTAGGAAATGGCAGAAGGGGAAGTGAGTAAAAAGAGTGTCTTGTAACTTTAATTATCCTCTGTCTACTTTAATTAAATAAAATCATTGGGTAGTAAAATCATTGGGTAATAAAAGCACACATTAATGTATTAGTAAAGTTGTTTAGATGTTTGCGTACTGTGCCTTAGATTAATTGTTGCTTTCTGTTTCAAGTTGGTGTCTTTAAAAGCTGGAAATAAACCATTCAAACTAGAATGGCTATGCTTAATTACCTCCTATTGAATTTCATCAACAAAGTGATTTACTCACTTCTGTCACTGGATCCTCAGAGCCTGTTTCTGTGGCCTGTGTTCACTGCAGGCCACAGAAAGCTTTTGTCAGAGAACCTCCTAGTGAATACATCTGTAATTGATTTAGATAGGTTTTTTACCTGTGCTACCTACAATCCTTCTTCCATGGCTGCTCTGTCTTCAGATAACTCAGGCAGTCAAGTACAAATAGATTAATAAAATCCTAGTGATTGCTACTTTGAAGATTGCATTATGGATTATGAATGTAGAAGGTTCAGTACTGGGAGCTGAGCAGTAATGTCTCAAATTGCTACAGCTGAATCCTCCAGGATTCATTTCTGAAAGAGGTTTGGGAACATCCATAGCTTGCTTTCTAGAGTGCTTATGTCACTCTGTACTAGCTGGTCTATGCCAGTAAAGGTTATGAGTTCCCTATAACAGTGTATCTTGAAGTCACTGTTACAGTGCTAACTCCTACACAGTCAGCTTATCTGTGCTGGCTGACAGCTGTGTCCAGGGGGCCAAGACAGCAGTGGCATCCTGGCCTGTGTCAGCAATAGTGTGGTCAGGGAGACCAAGGCAGGGATTGTCCCTCTGTGCTCAGCACTGGTGAAACCACACTTTTGAGTCCTGTGTCCAGTTCTGGGCCCCTCACAATACAAGGGACATTGAGGGGCTGGAGTGAGTCCAGAGAAGGGCAATGGGGCTATTGAAGGGTCTAGAGGGTAAATCCTAGGAGTAGGTGAGGGAGTGGGGTTGTTCAGCCTGGAGAAAAGGAGGCTCAGACCTTATTGCTCTATATCTGCCTGAAAAGAGGGTGTAGCAAGGTGGGAAGCAGCCTTTTTATCCAGACTGCCAGTGACAGGACAACGGGAAATGGCCTCAAGCTGTGCCACGGGAAGTTCAGGCTGGGTATCAGGAGGCATTTATTCACTGGAAGGGTAGTCAAGCATAGGAATGGGCTGCCCAGGGAGATGGTGAAATCACTGTCTCTGGAAGTATTCCATAAAAGACTGGACATGGCACTTTGTGATATGGATTTGTTGGCATGGTGATGTTTGGTGAAAGGTTGGACTTGGTGATCCTGGAGATCTTTTCCAGCCTTACTGATTCTATTATTCTATGAAAACTACTTGTCTCCGTGAGACAATACATGTGGTTTGATAATATGAGTTGCTTTGTGATGATGAATTAGTTATAAATAAAAAAGTTAGTTTGTGTAAATTATTTTGATATATCATTAACTTGACAATATATTAACTCATAATATTAAGAATGTATCATTCTGATATTGTGGACAGAATTAAGAATTAGAAAAATAATATGCTTGATATTTTGTCTTAAAATATTTCTTTAAAGGTTGATAATGATGTTCTGTTATGCTTAGCAGACACACAAATTCTTTTAGGAAAGATAGCAAGTACAGCCTTCTGTCAAAAGTAAGCAAAAGCAATGACAATCTCTTTTGGGGTTGCAAAAAAGTATTTTACTGTTTTTGATTTCAGTTTTTACTATCCAGCTTTTGCAACACAGAATATGAGGGTTTGTGATTTAGTGGTTCAATTGAATGAATCTGTCTGTAGAGCTGTGTTCTTAAGTTCATTAGCTTCTTTTTAGCCATTATTTTCTATTTCTAAGGACAGAAAAAGAATCTTTGCTCAACGGTCTGACTAAAAGTGAACTATGCTCTGTTTTTGCATGGTATCAAATTGTTCCTTAATAAAGCAATCTCTGTGTACTCTGGCAATGTTTTGTATGCACTTACTGAAGAAAGCTTCCCTGTCATTTCACCGTTTGTAGGTTACCACTGAAACACATTCTTTCATTTGTAACTGCCTCAGTCAGGAGTAATTCAGAGTTTTAGGGAATTCAAGATTGATTTTTAGATGGAATCTACAATGCTATATAAACTGAAGTTAATCTATCAGCATTTGTTGTTTAAGTTCAGTTTATCATGTGATTGTTGTAACTCATTAACAGTGTTGTTCATTCTTGTTTTGAATCACTGAATGTGTGCAGGATTTCTGTGCTATTATCTGTAGTCTGTGCATGAAGAAACATCAGTTAGACTGTTAAATTTACTCCAGGTCTAATATACAGCAGGTATGTTATATATTAAGCACTGAAGTATAAATGTTTTCACTGGAGTGTCTGTTCATTCCTCTGCCTAAATTCCATTAAATTTACAGCAAAAATTCAAATGTTCATGGAGCAGAAATGAATGAATCTCAGGATTTTGTGACTAATATTGTTTAAGCTGCTGAGTCAGAAGCAAACATTTATGTCTGTGCATTTAACGACCTTAGCTGTGTTTTTATTTTCCTTTTTTTCCCCTGACAGTTGGAATCAATGTAAGTAAATACAGCTGCTGGCACAGTGCTGTCTTGGTGTGATTAGCTCATACCTTTACAGAGTGACACGTGGTGGTCTGTGAAATAAAAGCAATCCCTGCCACTGGTGACTTTTTTTTCCCTTTTTCCTAATAAGATAGAGAAAAAGCTTTACAAGAATGGTAAATTGTATTGTAAATGTCAGGGGTATTTATTGGTCAGAAATGGTGATTTTGGTGCACTGCACAGAAAAAGAAACTGTTGTGTTAGATGAACAAGAAGTTTCATATTTTCACCCTTTGCATACTTGCCAGCTGGACTCTGAAATACATTTTGACCCTAATTCGGTTTGTTGCTATGTTATGATTTTGATTGCTTGTGTTGTGTAATTACATAGAAAGCAGTGGACTTTGCCACTTGAATGTAGTTGGAAAGTTGGGTTGCGTTTTATATTTCTAATTTCTAAACATTTATCATTTAAAGATCTGGAGAAATAATAAATTTGATTAAGCAAGAAATCCTCTGGCATTGTTTATTTGAATATTCTTATGTACAGATGGGAAGACCTAAACTTGTTATCTTTTCAATCCATATAGAAAGATTGTTATAGACCTAACCCTCCCAAACAGGAGAAAGGCTTTTTCTCCTATAATCAGAAGAATCCCAGTGATGTTTTCCCTGATCTGCCGTTAATGGTACTTTATATTTTCTTCAGATCTGTCAGTTTTCTCTATATTAATTTTGCTTTCTTTGCTGCCAGCAGACCTGTCATAACAGCTTTCTTGACACATTCTGGCTATACCCATCCAGGTTCAACTGTTGCTCAGTTTGCTTTTTGAAGTGTATTTCATGCATGATGTAGGACTGTGTTGTAGTGTAATTTTTGTCATGCAGTGTTTGGCAGGGAGAATTCAGTTCTGTATGATATGACCTTTTAAAGGTGCCATAATTCCTGAAGCAGTAGATTACAGTATTGCAGCAGTACAGGTTTAGAATTATACTTAGCGAGATCATGAATGCTTATTGTTCATAAGTAGATGCTTGATGGCATATGTGGTTATTTATTAAAAGCAGTGTGACAGGCTTTTTGAAAACAAAACCAGTTATGATGCTAGCTTAATGCTGCTCCTGGATAGACATTGTAACAAGAAAATTTCCAAGACAAATTATCATGGATCATCTGTGAGATTTGTGGTTGGGTTGGCAGGCTGATACATAGAGAAGTACAAAGGAACTGAAACTTCTAATAAATTAATATTTTTATCTGCAGCATTTTTCCTGAGCATTGGATAGCAATGTAGAACTGATGATTTCCTACTTTCCTTGTGTAATCATTTCTTTAGATATGTGGGGTTTTTTTCTGAAGGATTTATGGTAATAGATGGAGCAAAATATTATAGTTTAAAGGGGTGGATGTAAAATATTATAAATAAGTTTAATTCATACTCAGTCTAGTGTGTTTTGTTAATCTAGTTGTTACTGAAGATTAATTTGTGTGTTATAGAGTATAAAATAAATTACATTGGAGTAGCTACAGTGTTAATGAACTGTAGCTTTTGACATTCCATCTGCACCCATTCTTAAAAATCTGCCAACATGAAAAGTCCTGTGATCTCACTTCTCAGCTAGAGTTTTGACAGATCTTGTTAGTGCTTAATGAAAGTACTAGCCCCAAAAATTGGTCTTTAGGGGTAACATCACTTTGCTATGTGAGCTTAAGAATGTTACCAGCCTTCAATTGATTTCTGCAGTGCTACTTCTCCCTGCCTGCTGTGTCTCTTCACTTGAGGTTACTGTTCATATACCAGGACTGGCAGACTGCGGGATGCTTCATTCCAGATCCTACAGTTTAGTCTCTCTGACCTCCCTCTGCACTTTGCACTGAGAATAGCAATTGCCTGCACCCCATTTCATCGACTCTAAATTCCCATCTAGGAGCTGCAAGGAAGGGCTGCAGGGGGATGTATGCTGGGGGAGCATACATCAAGTATGTATATCATACTATCATCATTCCTGTTTTGAGCTCCAGGAATCATACTTACAGCAGCAGTGCTAATAAAATCCACCAAAAGCAGCTGTATTGGACAAGGAAGAACTGTTAATAACAATTAATAATGAAGGGCTGAAGACAAGGTTATATTTGTCCATCTCTCAAGGATGGTTTCAGCTGAAGAAAGATTTTGCTACTCAAAAGGATCAGGATACTTACTACCCACATGTGGGAGTATGTGTTCACTCTTCAGTTGTGCAGTTGGTTGATAATTGTGCAGCTCCAGAAAATGGATCAGCTAGCTGCCTGGCTAAAAAAAGTATTTTTTTCTTTTTCAGAATGTAAGCAAGCTGTTCTGTTTTACTTTAGGGCCACGCAGTTGCTAATACTAACAAAAGGTCGAATGCAGGAATATGCAGTAGGACGCTGAGGAGCACAGGAAACTATCCAGCTGGTGACAGCACGTTCTTAGTTTGGCAAAAGAAGACTCTCTTAAATTTTCCTGCAGATTGAAGTAAGGTGCCTGTCTCTGCAGGTTTCATGATTCAATCCTCATGCTAGAGGCCCATCTGCTCTTTTCCCCCCCAATACAATTTAGTAAAAGATATGAAAAATCTGGATGGGCATTTACTGTTGTTTTATTCTTTTATTTTTTTTATCAACAGGCTATTGTCATGTTTTCCTTATTCTGTCTTCTGTCATGTAAATACTTAATTATCTACCATAGGTTTCCCATTTTCAGGATGGGAAAGTGCAGAGTCCCATATCACTTTCAGATCACCTTCTCTTTGTTAAAATGTGAATTTGAATTTCTGCTGACTGAGGAGGCTTTACAACTTCAGAACAGCTGCTGCTACTACAATGCTTTATGAAAATGTGAGCACTATTGAATGCAGTCTCCTTGACTGGCTATTTAATTGAAAGTCACTGTGAGATGTGCTTTGTGTTAACACCGCTGTGTTTGGACAGACTGTGAGATTGGATTCTTGGGGAGTTCTGTCACGGGGATGTCTGGTTACTGAATCACAAACAGTTTTAGGGAAGAGACAATCACCAGTATGCTCAGTGGAGCTATGATAACATCTGCAGGCACACTCAAGAATAGAGCCATAACCCTGTAACTTAATTTGAAAAATCAAGACTCTTTCAGACTTGGGAATAGAAGTTTGATCTTGCATAAAGTTGTACTTTTATAACAATAATGTAGTGCCTTACTGTGAGAAATACAAGTGCTAATGCCAGATAAATATTCCAACTGTCATTTATAATTATAATTTTTGCACTTTGGTCAGGCAGCTATTCATAATATGCCAGTCAGTGTTGGACTTAACCATTATGTTCTGCTTTGTACCTATAATTTTTCAAGGTTTGGCATTTGGGAAAAAATTCAAATGTATACTAGAAGTTCGGGTAATGTGGTCATCCAATAGACTGTCTCATGTAAGTGCCTCTAAAGTATTTCTCACACATATGAAGTATTTCTCACAACAAATAACAAAATCCATGGATAATATAGTACTACTGAAGCCTTTAGTCTCAGTATTCATTGAGAGTGCCCCAAAAAGGGAAAAGTTGCCTTTTCTTGGGAAATTCCAAAGGAGACCTAGACACCGGAGTCTAACATTTTAAGCTCTGTGAAGACCTTAGTACTTTGTAGCATCTGCTGCTTTCTGTCTTTGTAAGTATCCCACATCTGTATGTGATTTTGTTAGTGAGATTGTGTAAAAGTGGTAGCCCCCGCTGCTACTAAGATAACAGTGCCTCAAGCTCAACCCCAGGGCCTCGTTGGATGGACCTGCTGATCCACCACACTGAGTGCTGCTCAGCAGGCAGGGAGTTTATGCATCTCTGGCTTGTTGTATTTTTTCCTAATGACTGTGCTGTTACGTGTGGAACATTAAAATCCATGTTCAAATAATAACCTGCCTAATTATGCTAGAATGCTGAGGCCAAAGAATCTTTTTCTCCTCATTTTCCTTTAATAAGTAGCAATTCATTTATACTAGGTGGAACAGCCTCAGTAAGAAACATGAGATGAGGAAGACAGCATGTGATTCCATAAAGGTACACATCCTGACCCGTGTCTGTTCTTGTCAGTGCTGGTTAGGTAATGTGTGAGTCAACACATAACAGGTAACGAAGGCAACCACCAAGCCACATCTAAAATGCAGAGTAGATTTATTTAATTGTGAACATTGTTTACAACACAGGGCAGGAGAGACACACAGGGACACAGGCTCCTTGGGCTTAGCTCACCCTAGTGGGCACCAGGAGGGTCTCTGCTTGTCTTAACACTACAGAAGGCTTTGTGCATGTCTGTGAGAGTGTGTTACGTTCACAGGAATTCCACTTAAAACAGGCAGAAGATAAACCACACTAGGCATAATAAATGGACATAGTTTTTCCCACACTAACATTTTTAGCAATCCCAGCTGCAAGGTCACCTTGAGCAAAACTATTCCCTCCTCCTCACCACATCTTGTGGATTTAACCCTTTCTTCCCGTTCTTACCTGTATGTGGTAAGCATCTGGTAAGCATTCCTTGAATTCCTGCAGAGCTCAGAAAACAGACCAAATTCCTGAATGGTTCACTAATAAGGCATTAAGGCAACTTTCTGGTAAAACTTCTGACTACAAGAATTTGCTATCAGTGTGGTTCTTTTAACTTCCCACTTATGACATTTTCATTTTAACAAGTGTCTGTTTCCAATAATGTTATGACTTAATAGTGAACAACTAACAGCATACATATCTTGTGCCTCAGAATTACAAACTAGGTGTCTTTTCTCCCAGAATGAGTATATTTTATTCTCAAACCAAACATGGGAGACTACCAGCCTAAGCACAACCCTTTTCTTTATACAGTCACAGTTTCAGGTCTGCCATCCCGTATGTGGAATTTATAGGTAAAAACTTTCAATATTTGTAATGATATTCTGGCAATGTTAGCAGCCTGTCCACAGGATAACAATTTAGCAGAGATCTTTGTAATCTCAGTAATTAATTAATGATCAGTATATCTTTCCTACATCCAAGAATGTCTACTTCAGCCTTACTTAACAGGGTTACAGAAATGTGTTCGGAAACGATGCTTCGGGGTGAGCTATCTGGTAAAGCAGCATTACAGCCTGAAAAGTGCACACTGATTTAGGTGAGAGATTGTGACTGCCATCTGTCTTAATCATATGGCTAAGCACCTTAAATTTATGTTTCAGGATATTTTATAACTGAAACAGCTACATTCATTCATTTTTATTGCAGGGAATAAGTGGGAATTGTTTTATTTTCTTCTGCAATCTGAATATATATTTTCCTGCATCTTGACTGCCTCATACTCACATCTTTATTAAGTCTTCCAAAACTTCTGGAAAAATTATAGTTCTGGTTGACCAAACAAATTTCTGGACTTGCATTTGTACCAGAGTAGAGAGTTACGGTCATCTGGCAGGCCTGCAAAGAAATTATAGAACAAATTACCATTACTATAATGTATTTACCATGGTGGCAAAATTATATGTAAAGGGACGTAATGAAAAATTGAAGATAATTTCTTTTGACCTTACTGTGTGTTTGCACTGCAAAATCTTTTTATCATTTGCAATAGCTAGGAAACAATATTTTCAGTGGATATGTACACTATTCTCTAACTTAGCAGCTTTCAATAAAGCAAGGTAATTACACATACACTTGATTTTAAATAAATAGTTTCAGTTGGGTATACTTTCATTTTCAAAGTTAATGTAGTTGTGCTTTGTTTAGCATGAAACACTGAGTATGTCTAGTTCTTGACTCACTCATCATGAGCAAATGCAGCCTGCTGCCAGTTGGTGGCTGAGCCTGCAGTTGTGCTACTAAAGGAGTAGAATCCAAGAGCTGCAGATTTTGTGTGTCCCCCAGTCATTCTTGCTCCTAGGAAACAATCCCAACCTCAGTTGCAAGGGTTTTTTTCTGTTACTTTTTTCAATCCAGCAGCCCAAACAAGCTCTAAATATAGCGTGAATCTAATTACCTAAACTGTCATTAAAAGACGCCTCTCAATCAGCAGAGCCTGTTTGCTGATTGTCACCTGAAGCCTTGCAATTAACACAACTAGTATTTTTGGCAAAATAAAAAAGTGCAACTTGATTAATAGTGCTATCTCAGGAATGTTGTTTCGTTTTTATTTATTACCATTAAAGCTGTCAGTCCTGCATACCATATTTTAAGACTTCACAATAGATACAGCTAAATGGATACATGAAAAATAGGCTTTATATGGCTTATAGAGATTTTAGGAACAAAGGTGAAGTGCTTGAATTTTTCCATGTGCTTCATGTGTTGGTATAACAATAAATTAAATTAAGTTAATACACCATGTGCAATCAATAAGGGTTTAAACTGAATTTGAAAGTAATGTGTTCTAGGCAGCACCCAAATGTAGCTTGTGCAGAGCAATGAGGAGGAAACAAGAGTTGTTTGAATTGCAGCTGGTAATCGTTATCAGGGACTGTGTTCAGTAGTACCTAATGTGTTACATTCAAACTAGCATCACCTGAGATCTGCTAAATAAAGTTTTAGGTTAGTAGTCATGGCAATTTTTTGGGGGCTGGGGGAGAGGAACCTCCTTTTCTGCACTATAGTTTCAGGGTTTTATTCCCCTCACCTGAATTCCACCTTCTATTTTGTCCCATAACGGCTTTTCTCCTTCTGTTTCAATCCATAACTGAATAATTTCTGTTCTAGTTTATCAAAACAAATTATAATTAGCAAAATAGAAATAGTTGAAACATCTGTATGTGCTGTAATATCTGCATATCTGAATAGTTTTATGGCAAAAGTTTTTTCTATGTTTATGTCTCATTCTGCATTGCTGTGTCCAAAAATACCAAGTCAGGCTGTAGAGGGATATTTTGTGTGGTTACACCTTGCTTTGATCACCTGATCTTTGTCAGGACTGGGCTCTGTGGGAATCCAAGAACCTTTAGTAGCTAATGTCAAGAGTACATGTTTAGTGCATTTCCCCTGCAAAAGGAAAACATATTTTCTGGTGTGTTTATGTGATGGTGGGGGTAACTTTCTGAAACCTTCTGTCCTTATTGTGAACTTGTGTAACTTGTTGCTACTTTTAGCATCTGACACTGGTTTAAATTTCTTTCCACAATCCTGAGTAATTTCTGATAAAAGAATGGGATAAGATAATATTAGATATATTTGTTCTGGTCTACTTAAAGTCAGTTCATGTTTTTAAGAAATGCATTTGCTGAAAGCCCACTTTTATAGAAGGGTTGTTTTTTGGTTTTTTTAGGTTTTTTGTTGTTTTTGGGTTTTGGTGTTTTTTGTGGGTTTTTTTTTTTGTAGTTTTTTTTGTAGTTTTTTTTAATTGTAAAGCCTTGTCCCATTGAATGACTTTGGACTGACTAAAAATTAGTATATTCTGTTTTTCTAGTGAAGTGTAGCATGAGACATTGCTTGGATTTCTAGATGAAACTGTACACTTTTGAAATACTAGGTGATGACTGAACCTTGGAAGGAAGCTGAGAAGTGGCAAATACAGTGCAACTAACATGAGCTGCCTGAGAAGCAAAGGATAAATTATATTCTCCATGTGTGCAGTAATGAAAAAAGCAAGTGCATTATTTTTCTAATTGCTTGTTCATACAAATGGATTTTAAGCTTGTTTGTGCATTTTAGTGTTGAGTGTATTTTTTACTTTTATCCTCTACAAGGCCAAGTATTGACTTAAATTTTATTTCTCAGTTATAATCAAAGAAAGTTACACAGTTACATTCAAGACCACTTCATGTGAAAGGACCATCCTTAAGAAATTTCCCAACAGCCCACCATCTTTGCCTTGAGTGGAACTTTGGTTAAATGTATTTTTCACTTCCACAGGCTCAGCAGCATTACTATAGTAATGAGTTTAACTTTTATATTGCAGAGTTGCTCTTCAAATGTAGTCTAGATTTAAAATTGAAGTTTAAATTTTAGTTTGTTTATAGAGATCTTGTAACTTCAGTGTTTTTCTAAAGACATTTCAAAATTTTCATTTTTATGTTTAGGTCATCCTGAAGTTCTAGAACACATTTAATAAATTTAAAAATGCTTGGATTTTGTTTCTTTTTTTGTTAAAACCTTTGTGGTTTTGCTGGTATAGAATTATTTGTAGTTGAGAAATGTAGTCTGAATTATTTTTATGAGAGGTTATGCATTATTTTTTTCTATAGTTGTTCTTAATGGATATTGCCATTGCCTTTGGTTTGAAATAATGTTAGCCTAAGCCAATATTATACTTTTCAAAAGTCAGCTAGCTGGAGCAAAAAATAATTTGCAAATGCTGCTTAACTGGGGATGGGGAACAAAGCTGTGCATTGATTTTTGAATAAAGCTTAAAATGTGTTTCTCAGTTTACCCTGTTGCAGGTGGTCTCTTCCATACTGCAGTGTCCTTGTCTCTAATAAATGATGAAGGATTTTTTGCACATCAAATGATACTGTCACTGTCATCATGAGTACTGTGATAGAACAAAATAAGTTATGTTTAAAGAAAACAGACAGAAGAAAAATCTAAATCCACGTTTGCTACAGAAGTGTATGGTAGATGATTATTTAGACCACACAGGCTTTTAGTGTCTGACTTAAATTTCAGCTCCGTAAGTAGCTGAACCAGTCACATGGGCTTTCTCCTCTGCCAAAACAGAGGAACTCTTGCTTCAATTTCCCCTTCAGTGTTCCTAACTACGCAGTTCATACCACCTTTAAGTCAGGCTCAGCTGCTCAGAGTCAAGACTCTGCTCTTTACTCTGCCATCTCTCTGTTAAGAAGATACACCTAAAACCTTAGTATTAAAAGATGAGTAGTGTTAGCACCTTTTCATAGTATGATCATATCACATGGCTAATTGCTGAAAGACAGTCATATTGTTTGAAGCTGATTTTATAATAAAAAATTATAAAGCATACAAACTCTGCAGGGACTTGCACTTTTTACAGCAGTGGCAATTTAGTAAGTTAAATAACTAAAGCACTAACTGTGTTTAGACAATACTGTGTACACTCTGAATTCTGCTCACCTGTAAATGTGCTTGATGCATTTTTAATAAGCTTTCATATGGAAAATAATTTGTTGGGTTCTCTCCTTAGATTGGCTTTTATTTTGTTGTTCCACAAATATAAATTATAGTGCATTGCTATACAATTCTAAATTAATTTTGAATGTATGTTTTGAATATTCAAGTAAAAATTTGACATAATAAACAACCTTTCAGGCATCAGAGAAATAAAAACAGATGTGCAGAATATTAAGTTACACTGGATGATAAACTCTGCCTATCATCAGCAAGCTGAATTGCAGAAAGTGCAAAAGGTACAAGAAGAGCCATTGAAAAGAATTTTAAATCTCCTAGAATGTTCACAGTTTGCTGTGAAGTCTGTTAAAGACTTTACAATACCTTTTGATTTCATGTGAAAGATGCTTAGCCACTAATGATCAGCATTCATACAGATATTAAGGAAGGTGTCCTCTGCTTCTTTGAAAGTCTCTTTCCATCATTGAGCTAAATGACTCTTATGTAAGTTTCCATTCCAGAAAAACAAGTGAGAACTAACACCTTTTTATGTAGGAAAGTGGATACAGAATAGCTGTATAATTGTAAAGGTCTGTAGTCACAGTCGTGACATAGTCACATCCCAAAACTTGAGTGCATATTTTCAGTGTAAATTTAGTTGTACCTCAGTGAATTAATAAGTAGTATTCTAGTCATTTATTTGCTGAATTTGTATTGACATCACATGGCATGCCTGTCTTTAACAAGTACCTGGTTAAAAAACTATTTAAAATAAGGATTTAAAGGCATGAAACCAGGCATAAAATCTGTTGATTCTAAACCAAATGGGACCTATTGGAAAATAAATTTCAGTCTGAAGGGAATGCTCTCCCTAAACTTACTTAAACTGTAATAGTAATGAAAGTGCTACTTATAAAGCAGAAACTGCTTATGGCATTTGGCATTAGTATTTTCTGAGTTTAAAATTTTTACTCCACAACTTGTGTGACCTTGATTTGATCCTCTAAAACCTGTTTAGTATAGCATCTCAGCTGAGTTCAGGGGCTTTTTCAGGTTATTTTGTGGTATATAAAACATGTTTTCAGCTTAAGGTAAAAGGCAGTTTCTATTATGAGTCATGCTATCACCATGTAGCATTAACGTCTGAAAAAAGCTCTCTAAAAGTTATACACAAGAGTACTTAGAAGTCAGCTTTACTGGAAGTCTCCTTTTTATTACAGAACTGTCATCAGCACCTCATTTTAGAAATCATCCAGTCAAAGGGGCTTATGTGAGCCTGTCATTCCTAACAGCCTCCTGTAGGCTGTTAGGTAATACTCCCATTTTTCTTGGTTGTGTTTGGGTAAAGGCCAAAGTAACAAAAATGTCAGAACCCTAGAAAGGGGTGTATTTTAGAAAGGCCTTTAGAAAGGGCTGTATTTTTCTAAAAGCTTTACATTTCTTTTCTAAAAAATTTACATTGGCTTTCATTAGGAATAGAAATTACAGAAAATCTTTGTGAAAAACAGCTCCCTCTTTCAACCTAGATCTTGTTAGTCTTTTTAGCCTTCACAGTTCATTGTGTGCTATACAAGCCATTAAAATGTGTAAGCCAGATCTGAAAGAAGTGGGTTCCATCACTTGCACTGTGATAGATGAATCAATGTGAAAAAATGAAAACACATTTGTAAACTACTAGAATAAAAGCCAAAAATCATGACTTTTATCTGATTTTGCACACTTGGTTGCAGTTTCTTTTTGAAAGGTTGAGTGTGGATATATTCCAAGATAAGTTTTGTTGCCAGCTTTTTTTTGGGCAAAACTTGTTATAACCAGCTATCAGCCAGACCTTGTTAAACAAGCTACAAAGTGCCATTGTCTCCAAGGGACAAAGAAAGAAGAGAAAAAAAAAAAAGAATTTAAAAAGCAGTGCCAGCAAAAGCAGTAAGGTTTGCAGAGGAATCTAATGAATTAGAATTCAGTCTCTTGTTTCGTTTCCTACTTTCTTTAAGTGTAAACATGTGAGATTCCTTCATATGCTAGTTCACTGTGGTAAGCTCAGAGTGTCCTTGCCCTTTGATTTCCCTGTCTGCTGTTCCTCACCTTGTGACATTACACAGCTAGCGCATATAGCAAAATTAGGCTGGTACAAATATACCATATACAACATATTCAAGAAATACAGGAAGAGAAAAAGTAAAGTGATTGTAGTAGCTAATAAAAGCACTTAATCCTTTAAAACTTGTATATATTTTATTTAAACAGATATTCACTTCTTGTCTTGCTAGTAAGCAAAAAAAAATATGTAAAAGCCCAACTCTTATTTTTCATGTGTTAAAGTTTGAAAAATTAATTTAACTTCCAGCTTCAGAGAAATCTTAACATTCATAGAAGGCAAGTAATCAGAAATGGTTGTATTTCTTTTTTATTTTTCAACTTTAACTGAACTGCTGAAGATTAATCCCTGTCCCAGACATCCAAAAGCATGTACAATTTAAAAATAATCAAACACTTTATCACCATAATGAATTGTACAAATACAAGTGAGTAACCAGTGAGATTGCAATTTTAAAGATTTAGATGTATAAGCACAAGCTAGCAGCAACATATCATTGCAACAAGAACCATCACAGAAAGAGACGGCAATGGAAAAATAAGTCTTCACCATGTGAAGTAGATTGTTTTGTTCTCAGGTGGAGTTCTGTACCTCATGAAAAGAGGTATGTTATTTGGAAAGAGGCCACTAAGCAACATAAAGATTATAGTTTCTACAATCTGATTTAAAAAAATTTTCTTCATGTAAGGAAAGTTTTGAAAGATTCCAAAGGTATCAAAGGCTACTGAAAAGAGGAAGAAAAAAAGCCTCTGAATTTGTGATGCTTAGGAAAAGAATAAAAGTTTTCCTTGAATCATGATTTAATTGGAAGATTTAACTGGAATAAAGTTATACAATGTTCTCAAGAAAAGCAAGTTCTCCATAAAACAAAAAACCACAAGTATTTACACAGATAAAAGAACCATTTGTAATGTGCTTTTAAATGTACTTCATCCCACATATTTTGCTGGGAAGCAATACTATTTCCCATTATTTTTAACTAAAAACTGGTTGCAATTGAATGATGTATGAAGCTGAATGATGTATGACCATTTCATTAGTGTCATTTTCCTCAGTATCTATAGTACACTTTCTAAAGATTAGAAGATTTCTGCTTCTGATTTGATAGCTTAGCGTATTCTATTTACCCCTTGCTTCAGCAAATTTTGGTAAAACCAACAAATACAAACTGAGTTTTAAGTATCTTGGAGGTAAGATTTTATTATCTATTACATATGGAGTGGGTGAAAAATGTTCAGTAGCAACTAGAAGAAAACATTAAGATGTGGATTTAGAATATGTAATTTAGAAAACCGAAGAGTCATGTTATTTGTTTTAGGGAAGCTTTTTGTCATTTTCCAAATCTAAGCAAGGTCAGTCAACTGTTGTAACATCTGAGTTGTACAGTTTGTTGCTTTTGCATCTTAAGCACAAAGTGGTGTTTAATAAAGTATATTCTTTTTATTCACTTTTGTTAAATAAAAGTTTACACTTAAGAAAATTTAAAACAATACACGAACATTTAAAACAATACATGAAAACTTAAAACAATACATTAGAGGAAACAGTGCAATTTTTTATTAGAAATACAATAATACGTCACAGTATGTTGCAAGCTAAATGTTTATTTCAAAATTGTAAGCTGCACAGAAGAAGTGTTTGATTTTTATAGGACTATGTAAAATTACTCCTTCTAGATATGTTCTTTACATTGGAGATCTTTTACTAGTTAATGAGTGAACAGGGAAAAAGAACAAAACTGAATTTACTACAAATGTTCTGTGCACTTAAGACATCCTGAAGAACAGGTAATTGTAACATGAGCATCATGGAAGAATCTGCATACCTGGCCCATTTTCTGCCCATTGGAAGAAGCCACACTGTTTTTCCTTCACAAGAGGGCACACAAAAAAGTTCTTTCCATTATTGGGACCAATCTTCAACACAGTCTTCATAACACATCGCTTGCCATGGTTACAAAATGGAAAATCCAAGTCAGCCCACTGCCAAAGAAACAGGTTTCAGGCACATGTGATGGCTATGAATTCCTTATTTTAAAATTGACAACAGAAAAAGATCTACAGAGGGTGCCATGAAAGAAATCCTTTCTAGTACTTAGATTTATTTTATCTCTTTTGTGAACACTTTTTAGATTTTTCTTTAACATCAACTGCAACTGCACACACTTTGACTGGTGTAACTTGAAATTATGTTAGCATATTTTTTTTTTTTCAAATTTAGGCATTACTGTCTTGAGTTCATCTATTAACCACCTGATAGACACCTACATCCATAGCAAGGAGCAGAGGCCACCAATCGGACCTAGGAAGGTCCTGTTAGGTATCAGTGCAGCAGTGAGAGGGGTTTGTCCAGGCAGATTACAGAATTATCATCCTAAAAGGCTCAGGATTTTGGTTAGCCAGAAACATTGCTGACAATTAGATCTAGTTTCTTATAGTCCTTTCAGGAAGAAGCTGATCTGAACTTGTACATGTCCCCTCAAACCAGTATTTCTCTTATACATCCGTTTCACACCACTCAGAAGTAGACTAAGAGCATTTGCACAAGCAGGTGCCATCTCAACACTAAGAGAAGTAACTAAAACTGTTAAGTTCAATAGCTGTTATTATGCTCTAAGTTTCAATTCAATGTGCAAGAGTATTTATGTCAAACTTTAAATGGAATATATCTGTCCATGATTGACAGGTCACTGGGCCAAGGAGATTGCAGGAACAAGCACTGATTATAAAAACAGGTCCTGAAGTCTTATACATACTTGAAAGTATTCACACCGAGTTTCCCTGGAGAGAGAGCAGCAGTAAAACTGCCTTCCCTTGTTTTCTCCATCCTTTCTCACAACTCTGAGGCTGCAGAGACGTCTGTGTTTAGTGCACCGAGGATGCCCCATGCTCAACATCCCAGTATCATCTGTCACATTACTTTGAGGTGCGCTGTAATGACAGGTTACAAAATGACTTCTGCATAATTTAAAAGGAATTACCAGCCAAAGAACTCTCTTCTACCATTACAATAGCTCACCCAGTGTACTTTTGCACACAGTGACAGACAAAGGACTTGCTTCTCTAGTGCACCCTATTGTGCCTTTAAAGCTGAACGATTGCAAGTTGTGAACAGACACAACTGTGTGCTTTCCTTGAGGTATTATACCTGTTTTCCCCACCATGTCTTAAATTAATTTGAAGTACTTAAATTCATGTATGAAACAAAATAAATATTACTACCGATGTTATACTGCCCACCTCAAATTCTGACATGTTCTAAAATAGTATTCTGCTCTCAGTGGGAAAAAGACCAATACCACTAATTACTCCAGTCTGAAGATATTTGTATGCTTCACAGAAAAGACTCCCACCCTCTTTACTGAAAAATCATAGTAATGCTCCAAATCACATTTGGACAAGAAATAATCCAGATGATGGGATAGAACAGAATTCTTTGAATGGGATAAAGTTTCCTGCTTCCTCATGATTGAGACAATTTCTGACTATCTGCAATACACAAGGTTTCATTTAAAAATAGTAACATGAAAAAGATTAATCCTCTGAAATCTATCTTTCCAATATATTTATAGAGCAGAAAAGCAGTAATGTAACCTTAATGAAAAAAGAAAATATTAATTCATTCTGGTCAAGTTCTCAGCTTAGGATTTTTATGTTGTCTTCTGTGTCTGGAAGATTGCAGTCCTGCAGACACCAGTTTTATTTCAACACCTCATTAAAACACAAGATAAAAATAACCAACAGATTTTTTTGCTTTTGTTGTTTTTGGTTGTTTAAGAAAATACTATAAAAAAAGCATTTCAGTTGATGACTTGCTACAACAACCTGTAGTCATGATTGATACTATCTCATTTCTTGTTTACAGTCCTCTGTATTCTCAATTATCCTGCCTACAGCCTCAGTTCCTCAGTCTGTACTGTGACCATGAGGAGGAATTGTATTCATTCTGTCTAGCCTGGCTAGTCAGCGAGATCGTTTCAAAACTGGTGCTTCAGCAATGTAAGAAGTAATTTCTGTATTTCAGAACAGACACATGACAAAGGATTTTGTAACACATCATCAATATTTCACATTCAGCCTGCATAATTTACCATTGTAAGTGACATCTACCTTGCACTCCCATTACTGCTGTTACTATCTGCCCAACTTTTCTGTGACAACCCTCATAGATTCTCACATTTCTCTTAACTAGGCAACGGATGTGTCTGAACAGGGCTCTGTAAATAAAAGTATGGGTAGAGCATTTAAGTGGTTATATACAGAATGAGGAGAGAAGAATAAAAACAGTGATGGGAAGCACATCAAGGTAACCGTACAGAGCTTCCTCTCATGGAAGAATGCAGAAACCTGATAGTTGACAAATAACTTTAATTAGAATATATTCATCCAGATAGCTTCCTTTTGTAATCTTTCACACTGATTTCAAGGTCTGTCTAAGCAAATAGCAACTACAGTGCTAAGATCGGACAACTCCTTAGGTAGAAAAGTGCTTGACCTATTAAAACTAGACTGGCTTATTCAACAGGAATAGCTGAGCTATGAACAGCTGTTTAGCTTACAGCAGCACTGGCTAAATGCCAAAATCAGGACTTTTCTAGTGACAGCCTAGGTAATTCAGTGATTTTGAAATATGAATTAAATTATAGTTAGCCTAGAATAAGTTACCTCTGGCAGAAATCCAAAGACAACACTGTCTGAATCAAGCAGCACAGTATTCAATTAATCTTTAAGAATAAAGGTGGTTTATGGGATTATGAAGACTTGCTTTCATTTTAGAATGCATACCTGATTGCTGTATTATATGGGTGAACCGAAGGTACATGATCAGTTTTCTGTTTCTTCTGTATGTGTTTGAAAGAGACAGGCTGCTGACAGGAGGACAAAGGCAGGGCAGTTACAGGTGTTGAGCAGTCCTTGTCTTTTCTTCCTCCTGACTGGCAGGCATTGCTTTGGATCTGTTTACAATTGCTTTTTGGAAAAACACACTGAGAGTGTCCACCAGATACCTGGATATCATTTCTAAGAACAGTTTTGTTACCAAGATCTGTTAAGACAAGAGTTGTAGTTCCAAATGCAGTCTTCCTATTGATCTTTATTTCTGTGCTTGGTTTTCTGAAATCATTACAAGGGTACTTCATTAAGTTTGTGTTAAAGGCTGCAGAATCTTCGAAACTCTCCATCTTTGGAACTAAGGAAAAAAGTTTTTAGTTATACTCCAGCTGCATAGAATGCTACTGTATATTTCTGATCTGTATTTGTAAGCTGTCATGTGGAGAATGAAAGAGTAAATTTTCAGCACCATCTCAAAACCTGTCACAAATTAGAAAAGAGTACAAAATTTCTTACAATAAAAAAAAAAATCATGCACTCTTAGAATCATGTCAAACATGTGTTTCAAGATAGCATTGCTTGAGTAGGATCAATTAATAGTACTATGTAAATGAAAGCTATTGGACAATTAAATATAAAAATTTAATTTGATCCAAACACAAGCATTAAATTTAAAATTTTCAAAATAACCTTTCATAACCCCATTAATGGGAGATCACAGAGTATAGTACCTCCAAGCAGCGATGCATTATCCATTTTTGAAATATAACTTTAGTATTGACACAAAAAGGAAAAATCAGACTTTGGGGTTTCTATTGTTTTCAAAGTTCCCATCCTTTCCCAAATTTTTGTTCATCCAAACTTGGTTACTGTAAGAGGCTTTTCAGAAGAAAGCAGTTCAGACATTTGCTTTGTGGTATAAATGACAGCTTCTCCACAGATTCAGAGGCCCTTCTAGAGGGCAACGATAATTTCAAAAGAATGGGAATAGTTTATTAATGCAAATTTAATACATAAGCAGTCTGTAGGTAATCCCTTTCCTGAGAAAAGGGTGAAAACCTAATGGCATCCTATGTGCAGTCTTTTTAGGTAGCTGTGAAACTATAGAGTCCTTCCTTTTCTACCATATCCAGTGCATTCCATACAAAGAAGAGGGAATTAAGCAGAACATGGGTAGATGAGACATACACGAGGGCGCACTCTCTCCAAAGGCATTCTCACTCAGAAACAAAGTAAGAATCTATACATTTGACTTGGAACATTACTTGTTTCCAAGCACCTTCCATTTTGCCACTACTGCATGGTGAAACATACTTGTTTCATTAAGACTTTTTAAGAAAGAATAGTAGTAGCTTGGCCTTGTACTTAGCAAAGGAGCATGGAAATTGCAATGTAATGGTAAATAATTATCTGTCTACAGACTGAATTATTTTGGCTGTAAAGCCAACAGCTAATTTTACAGTTGAAGTATTCCATCCTCAAAAATTCAAACTTTTCTTCTGACAGTAGGTAATTTTAGAAACAACATAAAAAACAAACTGAACCAACTGAGAGGAGAAAGACTCTTAAGGATTAACAAAAAGGGGTAAGCAAACCTGTATTTGAAAAAAAAAAAAATCTCAAATACCACTCCTATGCAAAGATAAAGTCTTATTTTTTAAAAAAATATTTCCCAACAGTATTCCATCAAGACAGCCTCAAATTCCACACCTGATTTCAGTAGTTGCATAGAACTAAACAAGTAAAACTCAGAAGTGCAGGAGAAGGAACAAGATTTTGTTTCAAAGCTTAAAGCCTTTGTACACATACTGTCAGCTGGCCTTTATAATATATGATAATATATTATATTATATATATATAATATATAGTATCATATATTATAAAGGCCAGCTGACAGGATTAATTCCAGGATAAATGTTAGTTGGTAAATCTTATTCTGTGAGCAGATCAACATTTTCAAGTTTCTGGTGCTGATTTGGCAGAAGAATTATGCAAGATTAGCCTGTGTTGCCAACAACTGTCATGTAAGGCATGAAGATATACTTTTATTGATTCCTGACCTGAGAAAATGAACTATACCTAGTGCCAAACAAGGGTTTTCCTCACATCACTCCAGACATAAAATGATTAAGCAACGAAGCAATATTTCATGTAGATAGCAGCATTAAAAGCTCCAACAAGAGACAAACAATAAATTGAGGTAAGAAGTTCAGAATCATTTTTACTCTGAACTTGAAGGCAAAAAAAAGTAGCCCCAGAGAAACCTGGCATCCTTTTAGGAAAGGGTACTAAAATATACTGATTTTGTTCACATGAAAGAAGGACAGGTAATTGTATGACCTTTGATGATTTCTAATTCAGAGTTAAATTGCAAACTTTGAAGGATTTTAAGGATAGTTGAAAGAATGAAGACTTTTCTCACTCCTTACCCCAGTAAAAACAAAGGGTCACTGAAGACACTTATCTATAGAATCCCACCTGCACACCAGGTTGGAAGATGACACTTACAGGGTTTAAAACAAGACAGTTTCCATAGTGTCTGTGTAAGATTTCCTCAAAATCTGACTTCAGGTTGGCTAGTTATATATATATGATTCACAATGAGACACTTCTACATAAAAACTACACCAAAATCATAGACCTCCCCTCTTTCCCAATACAGATGCCAGACAACCCTCCAGGTACCTTCAGGTCTTGAAGTCAAACAGGCATCACAAATTTCAGCAGAAGGCTTGTTTATTAGGGTGCAGCACAAACATGTCCACTCCTCTTCAGATTTCCGAGCTACATGTTCATTAGAACATGACCCCCTGCCATATGCCCAGCCAATTAGGCTGTTTCTAGCTGGCAGTTTGCTGTGAAACAAAAGAATGACGTTAATGTTTTGTGAGGTTCCCTCTACAAATTGCCTTACACCACTCTGTGCAGGGAGGCAGGGGCTAGAGAAGAAGCCGTATGCAGTGTTAAGCCTCCTATCACAGCTTGGACAGCATGTCACTGTTCAAGTTTGAATTTTCTTTTCTTTACCTCAAGGGCAAATCTTTCCAGATGCTGCAGAAGTAAAACAAAAATATTTAAACAGAAAACTGACAGAAAGTTAATTATTAACTGATGTACTCTCCAGGACAATGCCCCAAGTGTCTCAGATCCCCTATTATTTCCAAGTACTGCAGCAAAAATCTTGGTGTGAAAGGAAGACTGTTTAAAGGCTTTCCCCCATCTCTTGTACACAACACTTGCTAATAAATGCATTACTGGATGAAGAACTGTTTAGAAGATGAAGTGCAGAAATCACACAGTCTAACAAATAATTTTTTTTTGTTCTCATTTGAATGCTACACATAAGTCCAATTTTTATCGTAACAGCCAAAAGCACTGAAAGCTTTAAAAGTTAGAAAGTCACCACTTGCTGGAAAGCCTTTTAAAATGTAGGAACCTGGTCAGAATTAAGGAACCTAGCTGTGACTTCTGAGACAAAGATACTCCAGATAACACTAAAGATTTAGTTTTATTTATTTTCCTGTAAATTATAAGCTCGTATGTTGGTAGACTGATTTAGAATCATAGTTACTCCTTTTACAGCTTCCTGTTACCAGGGGGTACTCCTGTCATAGTATCAAAACTCTGACAGCATGTTAAATGTAACTTGAACTTACCTGTCCAGTAAGTTGTGTATTGTTACATTGTGCTCATGGGCGTTCTGTTCCCCATTCCCAGGGACCCCTGTGACTCTGATCAGATAACCCTGGACCCCTCCTTCCTGCCCTGACAGGGTTGGCAGAGAGCCAAGAAGCCCTCCCTGTCCAAAGCCTAGATAAACCAAACATTTCCTGTTCGTCCTCTTTTTGCCCCGCTCTCCCCATGGACATCACAGAATAAAGAGAGCTGCACCATCATATATTGGGGTAAGAGCCTCTTTTAGAAATCTTTGCCATCTCCTGATATTCCTCCCCTCAAAGCCTCAGATCTCTGGGCTAGCCTGATAATTTAGGGGCTGAGAGGGGAGAAACATCCGTGTACGTATATTTCTAAGTGCTATGATATTATCCAACTTACAGTTGAGAGGTTGTCAAGCGTTTTTTTACATAGTTGTTGTGGAAATGTGGACATTTTGAGACTTTTATTAAGCCTAAGAATTTAAGCACTTCAATCAATAATGCAAATGCTGTAGTTGGGCACTGTTGTGACACTTTTGACCCTTCACTTTTTCCATAATGATCACTTTCTGTAAGAGGCTAGAGTTCTAAGATAATGGTAGAGATATCCACTACATACCACATCTTCCACAACAGGAAAACTAAGGAGGATAATGAGAACTACTGACACACCAAAGGGTCTGTGCTGATAAGAGGCAGAACAGACATTACAGCACCATTCATCAAAATACAGTGGCTAGCAAACAAACCAGCTGAACTGCAAGTGTTAAAATGGGTATTTTCACATTACTAGATCAATTGTTCTACTTGGTTATCAAAAAAGGCATTACTAGAGTGAATATATTCAGTGTATCATGTTTGAGAATTTAATTCTATGTTGTTCCCCTGGGTCATCTTTCCTGTCATTATACCCCCCACACCCTTTCCCAATTTATGAAATATGTGAGGAAAGGTCAATTTTTTAAATTCTAGGTACATTTAAATTTGATGGGCTAATTTTATAATGGGTATTTTCTAATTTTTTTTTTCAGTTGAGCAAAATCATAAGCTATTTGACTTGACCCGAGAACCACTGGGTTTATGATCTACAGTTTATGATTTGTAGCAAGTCAGTCTAATCACATGGGCCCCTTCCAGTCTTTAAATGGGAAAAGCCTGGAATGGCAAATAAATTATTTGAGCTATATATAATTTTATATGGTAACAGTTACTGTAAAATTGAAGAGAGCAGTAGAAAACAAAACTGACCGTTAGGATAAGGACAAAACAAGAAACCATCTTTCTATTTTATAGCTACCACAACCAAGTTTTTCACTTAAATACAGCACTCCTTAATTGTTTATTTAGAAGTACAGCAAAAATCACTAAATCGCTACTTGTTCTAGAAAACAAAGATTCTTTTCCTGGCATTGTTTTCTAGTTATCTGACTCAACAGAAGAATGCTGTCTTCCTACACTTCTGCAAAATATTTCTTATTATTCCTTTTTGAAAATAAAGCAGATTTGGGTTATCAGCTTGTGAAATATTTATCTTCCATGCTGGAAATTTCGATATTTGATCTGTACTCAAAGGCAAATTTTTAAGCTTTAAGCAAAATCCCTTCAGCCATCTAAGTCTTGAAAGAAGCTTGGAGGTAGGAGAGGATTTGTGTGTTCTTAAATCTTATCTAAAACATATATATACACACACACACACTAACGAGGCAAAGTTGCAAAGTGAAACAGCATCTTACATTAGACTGACAGAGAGTATAAAGGCAGAATTCTGAAGTCTCAGATGAAAATTTTCAAGAATAACAGATGCCTAAGTCTGAATAAAGTACTTTTGGAACTTTTACCTTTTGACCCTTTGTGATATCAAATGCACTTTCTGCTTTCCTGAAATAAAAGGAGGAAAGCTGCTGCTAGCACAATTTATGTGGAACTGAAAGTGCCTCTGTAGCACACCTATAGCAAAAGCTTTTAAAATCCAATGAGGAGGAAGAAAGAGTACTAAGCCCCTAAAATATTTGCTGCACTCTGAATTTACTGAAGTTTTACTTATCATTGGTGTAAGTCTATATCCAGAAGAAAATTGCACAGATGCACAGCTATCTAGATATGCCAGGACTGATGGGGCTATCCTGCAAAAAGAAAGACCAATTCCTACTTCATGGTATTCAACTCAGTTGTGTGGAAACATCCGTGCCCTTTATATTGATAACACCAACAACAAAGGGCGACTTTTCTGGTGACTTAAGTTTCAGTGAATAAATCTCAGTACTCTGAATTGTTCTGTAATTCCTACATTTGATTAGAGTAATAGCTGCTTCACAATAGATGACACCTCTGAAAAGAATAGTAGCAAAGAATCAAAGCTTCTAACCATTTTTAAATACCAATAGCCACAATTTTTTTTTTTTTGCAAGATCTGGTTTTGTTTGGCATAGTTAATTTAGCTATAAAATGCATAGAGACCCATTCTATTTCAAAGGGAGTGTCCTCTTACTGTACCAGCCCTTTGAGGTGCTTAGAAATGTCACCATGTTACCATCATACCTAAGATTGACAAGCTGGGGATCTGCTTTTTGACATCGAGAGCAGAAGTAAGTCATCCTGTTGTGGTCTCCCAAACGACACACGGTGATGCTGCCACTGCACTCCCTGCATGCTGGGCGCTTGTACACTTTGTAGTGTCGGTATAGCGGAGAGCCCGTTTTGCGGCACTAAAACAGAACGTGTTTAAAACCCAAGTTAAAGACTCAGGATCAATTTTACGTGAGACTGAAAATAGAAAGCCCGACATAAACAGTCAACTCAATGACTAGGTGAAGATATTTAAGAGAGACACTAATAAAGGCTATCCCTGTATTTCACATTATTTTATGTAAAGAATTGACAAATCAGGTATAACAGTGTCTGTAATTCTCCACATAATGAAATAAAACACAGAAAAAAAAAAAGCATACTAGCAAGATTGCAAGCAAATACATGCTAGAAACTCTGAGTTCAGCTGGACCAGCTAGCTCTGATTCAGCACCAGTAGTCTTTGTGACATTCACACTCTCTGGATAGAGAGACACAATTCTGTCTCTCAGGAGAAGCACAGAGAGAAGAAGAGAAAACAATCTTTATTTCCGCTCCTTTGTTTTCCCCATGTGGAATTTGGTGTGGAGATTGTTTATCTGAAGTGATTGCTTGATTGGATTCTGGTGAAGGTTGTTTGGGTACAATGACTAATCAGATCCAGCTGTGTCTCAGACTCTCAGCAGAGAAGTCACAAGTTTGTTAGGTAAGTAAGAAATATGTAGAATAGCATCTCTTTAAACAGTATATTAATGCAATATAGTATAGTTTTAATAAAGCAGATCATTCAGCCTTTTATCTGGAGCCAGACATCATCATTTCTTCCCTGAGCTGGGGTCGCCTGATTTCCGATACTTAACCTGACACCTGCAGGAGTCTTCTTGAAGAGCTAGAGCTCCAATCAATGCAGCATAGAAAACAAATCAAACCACAAAACAAACACTGCCTTCTCTCACCCCCAAAAGAGCCAAAAACATAGCGCAGCTCAGATGTGATGCTACAATCTGGGTCAATAAGCCTTCCCAAAACTTAAAGAACTGTGCAATGCAGAAATATTCCCAAGATTCTGTAAATGTTGGATAGTGCCCAGTAAAGCTGCTCAGTTTCACTGTGGCCCTGGCCATGCCAGAGAACCTGGCTCGTGAAAAGCAACTTGGCACTATGGTGAGCTCCCCAGATTCTGGCAGAAAGCTGTATTAAATTAAGTGTAGTACAAGCCCAAGGGCAGTGACCTGAAAAGCCTCCAGACAGCTGGCAGGCATATTTCATGATACAATTCCCAAAACACCCATGAAGTCAACATAGCGCACTATAGCTAGAAGTGGCAAAAAATAAATCCAAACAAGAAGTGCCCAGTAGAGATGCAGCCAACTCTGCAGAGCCACACAAGTTTCTGCCCTACAGTTGCAAATCCTTGGGCTCAGTTCAAACGACACCACAGCTGGCCAAGTAATACCAGCACAGCTCTGGCAGAGTTCACTAGCTCTAGCTCCATAACATATGAAAACCCTTGGAGTTCTCCCAAAACACAGGTGTCTTTGAGCACAGTACATTGCTTCTACTGTGCTCTTATTCATCAGTCTTGCTGAAAGAGAATTCTTGTGCCAGTACAAACTAGTAATTCAATCAGGAGGAATTACTAATATATATTTGCATGAATATTCACAGCTGCCTCCTCAAGGCTTTCAGTCAGTTTCTTGTAAGTAGCTTTTTTCCCATTCAGTTATGCAAAAACAAAACAAAAGCAACAGCTTTTTACACAAACAAGATTCTTCATCTTTGCATCTGCAATGATACAGCATGATGACGGCAAACAATCTATAACAGTCTATTAAAAAATTCAAGCACTATCCCTCATTAACGTATTTTCATTATGTCTCTAAGATGGAAGAAGAGGCTAGCCCTCTTAAAAGTACTTGACTGGTGAGTACTTGCCAAGTGTGAACTACAGAAGTGTTCAAATTGGCTAAACAAAGTGTAACTTGTTTACAGTCCAAAAGCCTTTAAGTTTCTGAGTATTAGTTGCTAGAAGTCTCTTTACTGGCAGACTTCACTACGAAATTCAGAAAATGAAAACATTTCCTTACCAACAAACCAAAGTACTCTTTAGTGGGTTGAGGGAAGGTAGACATTTAAGCAGACTATTAAACACATTAGTTTTAGCCTTTATGATTTTAGAATTGTTAGGTGCCCTCACTCACCAAAAAAGTTCTTTTTTAGCACTGCTAGCTCCTTGCCTTTCATGAATATCAAGAGAAAGACAAAAATGTCACTACTGCTGGTCATTATTTTTGTATGCAGCTTAAAGAAACAAAACATAGAAGAATTAGGTCAAATTCTCTCTTTTTCTATTGTGGAAAGTTAAAGAGCACCATGAATTATGGAGTTCATACAGGAAGAAATTAAGTCCTACTGAAGTTATAGCAGTAGGGAGAAATTGTAATTTATTTAACTTTATCAACCAAAACCATCATTTCAGTTAGGAAAAAAAAGTTGTTAGAAGTTGCAAACTGTTTAGTCAAATAAATTTAATTGGTATTTCAAGTTTTATATAGGAAGCCTCATCAAATACATTCGTACTTCCCTCGGACAATCTCTAGTTCCCATTCTGAAGAGTAATCTTTATGTTACCTTACATATAACTTTCTGCTTAGCCTACATCAATTCTGACATGTTCAGACTGGCACAACAGCACATGAACAGAAAGACTGAACTGGCCCTCAGGCAACATCTGTGCAAGTCTTTCTGGCCAAACTGCACATATTTTGACAATCTTGACTCTCCCTACCTTTCCATCATCTGACAATTCACAAATAATAAAGACCACATAAGCCAATACTCCTATTCATGGAAACACTTGCTTTGTTGGATCTTTATACTATTTTCACCAGATGATCACACACAGCTAAACATGCCAGAGTAACATTTTGTAAGTTTTCCTGAAATATGTGACAATACCTTATAAAAAAGCAGGGTAAAATCACGTGTCATTTTCACCAAGTGACGTATATGCTCATCTCTCAGCTGGCAAACCTGTAAGAAAGACAGGAATGATTTTTAGAATATTACAATGATAAGGGACAAAGGCAAAAAATGACCTATGAGGCAGGTGCACTTTGAACACTGATGTGGAGTTGCTTTTCTCCATATTGTAATAATTCCCTGACTTCGTGTAATATGTATCATCCCAGTAAAATAGCATATGTTTACATTCTATAATAGAAAAACTCACTAATTGCATACTAAACAACATGGTTTGCCTCAACCATGCAAAACTTGTGGTAGAAATTTCAGTTGTCTTGCTCTATATTGACCAAAGAGTTCATAATCACATTAATAATAGAGTTATCAAGTCTCATATCCCTCCTAATTTCCTCATGGATCATAATAGGACCTATCATCTGAAGCTCTTCCCTCTGAGAGATAGTCAGGAAGAATATGCAAGTCAAAAGCATCACAATTAGCTGCATCAACCAAATTTATTTTTCTTAAAAATCCAAAATTTTAAATCACATTTTTCTTTTTCTCTGTCATATCACTGATAAAATTAGAATTCAGATTGATCCTATGAACAATTTTCAAAATACTGTTTAAAAATACAGTTACTAATATTTCCATTTACATCCTATGTAATCTCTGTTTTGCAAATATCATCTTCTCAACCACAGTTTGAAAACACATGCTTGAGGATCTTAAAACAGAAAAAGCATGATAAACAATGGTAGAAAAAAACAACTGATGCCAGCTAGCAGGATAAGAAGTGGCAGAAGCAGCTGCAAAAATTATCAACTCTACTACAAACTATTTTGGGTAGTAAAAGAACAAAAAACAAACAAAAAAAAACAAACAAAAAAAACACCAAAAAAAAAAACCAACAACAAAAAAGCACTTTTCACTTTCCCTTATTTATAGATTGTCAGTTTAATGGTAGCATAACAGGATGCCAGACTTAAAATATGGAAGTTAATCAGCTCCAAGGAGTACCAACACAAAAATCTCTAGTTATAATGATAAAACATTATTTTAGTGTCTAACAATAACTTAAGAAATTACAGATGACAAAGCAAAGGTAAAAAGAAAACAAAATATTAAATAAACATGTATTTAAATTCTTAATATTTTGGTGTCCTTAAAAACCATCTTGAGACATTCACCCACCTTAAGAGCTGGATGAAGACCACTATCAAACAGTGCTTCATTCTTTATGATATTTCCTACTCCAGGTAATACTGTTTGATCCAGTAACACATCACACAGCATACGGGTGCTCTGCTGCTTAATCTCATTTTCTGCTCTTGAAAAGCTAAACTTTGGAGAACAGACATCCAAACTTTCCATCATCCTCACTTTCTGCTCACACTCAGCTGCATTTCTGGAAGAGAAAAATACACAGATTAATTTTTATTTTAAATATATTCTAATATTGCAGTGTGGTTTTAAAAACAACACAAAGTAGAACATTATATGCAGATAACAGAAACCATGATAACACTAGTGACAAGAAGCAGCACAGAAATTCCATTAAACACCTCTTCCAAAAACACGTCAATGATAGGTGCATGGAACACGCATCTAGTCCAACATATAAGAAATCATCTCATTTTGTTCCTATGAGCTTGCAAAATATTTGCCAGCTCCTTGCTTTAAAACGACTTCCAAGATGGAAAGCCCCTATGTTAGGACCCTCAAACATACCTAACTGTAGGGTTACATGGTCCACTAGTTACAACATGACATTTATGTGTGTGTGCATATGTACGTAAAATATAATTATATATTTCAAAGAATCACAGAATATTCTGAATTGGAAGGCTCCCACAAGGATCATGAAGTCCAGCTCTTAAGTGAATGGCCCTAATGGGGATCAAACCCACAATCTGGTATTATTAGCACTGTGCTCTAACCAACCAACCAAATTATAATTATGTAATAGATGTATGCAGTAGTAGATTATTAACAGTAGTTACAAAATCTTAAAAATATATATTCATATTTTAAAATATATATTGTTAGGATAAGCATACTCATTTGAAAATAATACCATACAAAATGTATTGGCTTATATGAGATTTTGTGGTTTGTAATTTTACATACACTTATATATGTTGCATGAATTTATATGCCCATTTCCACTCAAGAGCCTCAATCACTTTAAAATAAAGCTTTCTGGTGTTTTTTTTAGGAGTGTGAAGTATGGTGCTAATGGGCATAAACATCTGCTTAATGGAAATTAGAACAATTATAAAAATTTGCTTCCAAAAAGAAAAAAATAAAAACCCAGCCTCAGGAGCATAAAAACTTGAAACCAGTAATCATGACAGGTTGTTTGTTACTCTTGTTAAGAAATGAGACTTGGACAGAAATTAACAGAGCAGTAGGTTTAAGCATACAGATCTAAGGATAGAATTAAATCCAACTTCCACTCCCAGTCTTGACACTACGGCATAGAACTACTTCAACTGTATGTAAGCACTGATAAAAAGTAATAAACTCAAATTACCATACCCATAAATATTATATGTTTAAAAAGTTTTGTCCTGATAGAATCCAAGCATTTAACAATTTGTACATGAATTTTCATTTAGCTTACAAGAATGTTATAAAAAGAAATAAACTGTTTCATTAGTTTCTGCTTTACCTATATTCTACTGTCACATCCCAAAAACAAACAGTATCTTCCATAAGCTGTATCTCCAAAATTGGTTGTGCTCTGTTTCTGTCTTTGCTTCCATCAGGATTAATGTGCATGGAACCATTCATACCAAAGTGAATCCTTGGAAACAAAGAGATATTTTATAGGTATTTTAAGTTCACTATCATTTCCAAGCACTACACCAGTCTATTTTTAGAGCTGTGAACCTTACCTAACCAAGTCAGTATGTATGTACATAAATTGTAGTCATTACCAGTAACACAGCAACAAACTTAGCTTACAGAATGCTCAATTCCCAAAGAAGAAAGAATGCTCCCTAAGTAAAAATCCCTCCAAAACATAGCTGGTTGTGTAGTCTTCATAACACATTATATAGAAATCAAACCTGACCATTCAGAAGCACCATTTTCTGGTACACTTAGAATTTTTTTCACTTGACCTGCTGATCTTCCAACACATATTCTTAAATTTTCAGGAAGGCTGAAAGAAATGAGGCCACTTGACCAGAAATTCTTCTATTAAATCAGGCAGAAATCACCTGGTATGAAAAGAAATTATTTAGTCCCCATATTCCCACCACTGTTATCAAATTGCAGCTAAATCCAGTAACGTCACAAACAACGTAATTAGTATTTGCCATATGTTGTTTTCTGCTTTTCTTAGCCTACAACCACAGCAAAACCTGCAAGTCAATTAAAAATTAATAAAAGAAATAAACTGAAAAATGCACAGATGGCAAAGTAGAAGAACAGACCCTTTCAAGTGTTCATTTTAGAGATTAGTCATGCTTTAAGAGGTCTTAAGTTATATAAAATATTCTACGAGGAGCCATGATTGAGCAAAGAACAAGTCTATTATCTCATACATTTCATTTATTACAAATTCACCTGGTACAATCAAGTCCTAAAAAACATCGGATAAGTGGGAATGCCTATTACTATACACTGTATATCAGAAAAAGTGGATTATTTTGTAGTTACAAGAAGATTTCACAGATTAAGCTCCACAAATGACCAAAGAAATGCAATGTCTCTATTTCCAGTAACCTAGCCTTCTTAAATTTCAGGAAGGACAGGCATTTTAAATATTTACAGATGGGCTAAGACAACATGTCATTAAGCCTATTCTTAAAGTTAACTCTTTAAAACATGAAAAAATTAATGCCATGAGTTACTTAAAAACCTGTGTCTTTCCAAAACTCTTCTTACAAGTCAGATCAGGTGATAAAGTTGTTTCAATCACTTCTATCTTCAAAAGCCATTTTCAATTCTCAAGTATCATGAGTAGTACTGCACAGGCTTAACTAGCCAAACTTATTTTTAAACCTAAGCAAATTTATTTTTAAATCAAACTCTTGCATCTTGCTAAGAAATGGTGACGCACTAAATGCTTCCAGAAAATTATTTTTCATTCAATTTAATAGTGGATGGTTTCATTTACCAAGCTCCAGTATACTGTTTGAAAGAAACTCTAAGAATCACAACTATTAGCTATTCTAGTGCCTTCGCAGATCATGACTAGGAAAAAAGAAATTGAATCATCACTACATGTTTACACTCAAAAGCATTAAGAAACTTAAAAAATTTAATTCTAAAGTGTTTCATTACCTTTGATGTCCTGAAATAGGGCAAAATAGAAGTCTTTTTAATTAAACATATAAAAGGCATGCTAATTAAACCTAGGAAATGTTATTCAATGAGAACTAGTAGTAATGATTTGATGATTTGTTTTAAAGTAAAAAGGTGAGACTTTAGAATGATTACAATACACAATATTGCAGGGATCTGAATGCACTGCATGTATTATAACTGTTTTGTCTTCAGAAAATGCAAGTTCCTGTTTGAAACAAAGCATGTCAATAAATAACTGTCCTTTTCAGATATCTTTACATTGAATCTTGGAGTAAAGCAGTAAATTATCTAAACATGTGACTATATCCAGTACACCTGTACTGCAGGGAGGCTGATGAGAAGTTTCTAACCCTTTCAAATTTCTGAAAGTGCCATTAGCAAGGTCAAGATGACCCCCCCAGCCCCCCAATACCCATAGAATGCATAGAAAGCCTTTTTCTCACTTACCTCAAAGCTTTTTGATCAAAATACATAAAAAGTTCCTTTCCCAATGTCTCCACACCCCTGTAAACATGTCCAACAAGGAAATCATGACCAGAGATTCTCTCTTTACTTGCAGCAGTCTGAAAAATGAGTACACGCACAAAGATTAAAGAGAATTTATACTGCTTAAATTCTAGCACCAGTACACATTCAGCAAGCAGCTGTACAAACTAATTTTTCCAGCTTGGACAACATTAACTATTTTCTCCTTAAGCATTCTACCAAAAACAATGGAACTATTTACCCAGGAAGCAGTCACTATTGCTAATGCTATCATAACTTACCTCAATTTTTTTCCTAACTGAAACAATACATCTTTTTTATCAGAGAATTTTATGCCTTTTGCTTCAAGTCATGAATTTATAATAAGAGTTTCAGACTGGTGTAAAATAAACAGGTACAGTTTGAATATTAAAAACATGTCAGTGCCAATTCTGCCATTTGCAGATCTATATCCTTCTTCAAATGTTGATAATAGCCTTGCAGTATTTTGCATAGCGCATTGTGTATTGCAGAAAAGCCTCCACTGAGCCCACAGAGACATCTCTCTCTTCCTAGTAGTCTAAAGTCTAATCTCAGAAGCAGGTGAGCAGCAGGTAGGACACTACTAGAGGACAAGATAAATGTGAGATTAAAGCAGTCATATTTTCTTGCTTAGCACATGAAAATACATTGAAATTATAAGGGATGTCTACAGGTTATCTAGTCCAAACGCCCGGTCGAAGCAGAATACACTTAGGACAGGGAGCTCAGGGCCTTGTCCAGTCACATTCAGAGCAGCTCCAGGGATGGACACTCCCGCCTCTTTGTGCTCTTGTTCCATGGCTTGACTGTTGTTGTGGTGGAAAATTTTTCCAACTAATGAGAAAATTTTAATACCTAATGAGAACTTCTCCTGTTGTCACCTGCATCTGCTGTGCACGGCAACAGGAGACTAGCTCTGTCTCCTCCATATCCTCCTTACATGTACCTGAGGAGAGCAGTAAAACCCCAGTTCTGTCAACTTCTTGAGCACCATGTGCTTCACCCTGCTAATCATACCAGAGGACTCACTCTAGTATGTTATTATCTTATTATTGCTGGGGAGTTGGAAGCTCGGGTACAGCCTTGCAATTGCTGCTCAGAAGCATCACTCTCCTCAACCTGCAGAGCCCAGCATGGGGCTGTCCCTCTTCTTGGAATATGGCCTCAGCTTTTACAGGACCCTAAGATCCTTTTTTGATGCAGAGCCATTTCCCACCTGAGCAGCAGCCAAGACTGTGCTGTTCCATGACACTCTTCTGTTCCAAGTGCAGGATTCTGAAAGTTTTCCAAATGCAGAACTTGACTTTCTACCAGCCCATTTTTCTCAGCCTGTGAAAGTCCCCCTGACTAGCAACAGAATCTGTGAGCAGCAGATTCACTGTTCTCATAGCCCTGACTGCAAGGCAGGTACACATATCAGTGCTTCAGCTGCAGCACTCAATTTCAATGCAAATATGTATGAAAGCAACTCTGGCAAATCAGCCAGACTTCTGCTAGTTAGTGATATTTCAGAGCTACTCTCTATGCAATCTCCCACTGCATTATTACCTTGAAATTATATTCATTTAGAGAGTTTTATGGTTATTATTCTGTCAAGTAAGAAAATGAAAACATTTCTTGCCTAACGTCACTTACTTTGTCTACTATCAAAATATGAAGCAAAATTTTGCTCCCATGTAAGCAGTTCACACTTTCCAATAAAAATATTGGAGTCTGTTGCTGTGCAATAGTGTATTTTAACTTTAAGCCACTCAGGTTTGTTTAAAATAAAACAGAATAAGAAATTACTGAGATGGAAAACTAGCTTGTCTTTTCAAATATTTGAAGCTAAATTCATACCTCTTTGGTGTGAGGCAAACTCTTACAGTCATCATAGTAGAAACTCTCATAAACACTGTAATCAGCAGTGGGCAAGCTTTGGCCATGGTTAGCAGCCTATGAAATCTAAAAAGTTCAAGACCCATAGGCTGGTCATTTTCCAATGAATAGAGGCTGCCCTGAGGCTCCTTTTACTGCACAAAATGATGATAACGAATCTATTTGAGGGAGTGAGGTTTCTTTTTGAAACCTTAGGAGAATAACTCCTTTCTTCAAAAATCTGTCCTGAAAGATATTAACCTAAAAAGACTAGTCTTAAGATATATCTTAGATATATTTTCAACCACATTCTTTCCTAAATTGTTTCATTGAAGTACTATCTCACTGTGCCTTAATCACAAACTCCTACATGGCTTTATACACACTAAAAGTGGGTAAAAATTCCCCAACTTTCTGCCTGGAGGCATCCAATATACTTACTTGTGACACAAGCAACATACAATCTCTTAAAGGTGAGCAAAAACGAGGCACAGAAAAAAAGATACCTTAGCTAGCTCTGTAATCAAAACCAGAAAGGCCAGAACCTACACACTCATCAGCCAAGGCTGCTTACTGACACATCTCCTACAAGGTCTCATGAGTCCCAGCAGCTTTACACTAGTGAGCTATGCTGTCAATGAAAGGATACAAACTGGTAGGGAAATTACATACTGTGCACACTGAAAGCAAATGTCACACTCTTTATTTAAATACTTGGTCTAATCCAAATTGCATAAAAAAATTATTATAGAAGTAAAAGCCCCTTTTCTGAAGGTCAACATGTATCTTTCTCATGTTTCACACAGATTAGAATCATATTTAAATACTTGGTCTAATTCAAATTGCTTTAAAAAATTATTATAGAAGTAAAAGCCCCTTTTCTGAAGGTCAACATGTACCTTTCTCATGTTTCACACAGATTAGAATCATAGTATGGTTTGGTTTCAAAGGGACCTTGAAGAGCATCTAGGATATGTCTAAACTGAGAAGATTATGAAGAAGGAAGATTAGTAATAATTTCCTTTTTATGGAATGTTTCCTCGAGCAACATGGTATTTTGAAATTCATCTTTCCCTCATTACTCCTCAACTCTCCTGTATCTACAGCTTCAGCATCGCCTTTACACATCTGACCTGCCGAGACTTGTTATGTTGCTGAAAACATTTCACAACTTCAAGGAAGAATAAACAGCATTCGCGGATGACACCCACCATCACCCGCGGACGACGGCATCCGCGGCGCGGGGGCACCAACCGCCCCGCTCGGAGCTCCGGCCGCCAGCCCCGTGCGCGGCAGCCCAGCGGCTCCTGCCCGGCTCTCACCCACACCTGGCGCCTTTCACCACCGCGGGCACCCACGAGCAACACCGCTGGGCCGCGCTGCCCGAGGCAGCTGCCGCGCCCTGTCCCGGTGGCCGGGCCGCCAGCGCCGCTGCAGTACCGCCCCGTCCCTGTGCCCGTCCCCGTCCCTGTGCCCTCACCGCGCCGCCGCCCCGCGCGGCCCGCACGCGCTGCCCCCGGCGCAGGCGCGCCCGCAGGCGCTCGGCGCAGAGCGCGCAGCCCGGGCCCTCCACCATGGCCGCCGCCGCCTTTCGAACGTGCCGCTCGGCTGAGGGCGGCAGCACCGCCCCGCTATTTCCTGTTTGTCTCCCAGCGGCAGCTTCCCTTGCTCGGGCTTTCTCCTCTTCCGACTTTCCGACTTTCGTCGCTGCCGACTGGTAGCGCTGTGCTATTATCTAAAACACGCGCAAGTGCATCTTCCTTCAAGACTTAATGCACAATCAGAAATTAATGTCAGTTTAAAAAAATCGATATTTAACAGGTTTCTGCAGTCAGTCTAGGTTTACAGAGGTAACATGCTCCTTTACCCGCCACATTTGAAGTACGATCAGGCGTAATGAACTGCGAGTTCTAATAAATTGGGGGAATTTGCATTGCAAGGTAGAACACTGGACACCATTTCCCAGTGCCCAGCTCGTGAGGCAATGCTCACACTGGTTAAAAACTCTCAGTGCCGTTCCTTACATACACAGTCCTATCCACTCTTCTATCTGGGTTCAATCAACTGTGGTTTTCTTTATATATATATATATAAAAATTTTTTTTACATGAAGGGAAGTGGATAAATCACGCTAAATGATGTTTGTTGAAATAAAATATAATTCACATTTTCGGCTGAAGCTAGGGTGTGCTACCCTTGTTGCAAATGCCTTTTCTCTTTTTCTCAGTGGTGTTTTTGCTGAGATTTTTTAATATCAAGACAACATGGCAATTTTTAGTCAGAGAATTAAGCTCACAAGTCAGAGATCGGCAATGTTAAAAAATGGCATGCAAAAGTGATTTTTCTGCTGCTCTAGAATTTTGCCTTACTATTCTTTCAAGCAATTAGAAATTGATACATAACTCAGGTTTCTATATTAATGTTTGAAGTACTTTAAAAGCACAGACAATATTTCCTGTCATTTGGCAGTCAAACATAATGTTTTTCATAATAAGGTATTTCATTTCATAGCTGCATATTTTTCAGTCAATGGTTTCTGCAGTATGTTACAGCAGACGGTTTTCAATTCCAAATCTAATTCTGCAGATTAATCAGAAGTTCCAATAGTAACCATTAATTAGGTTCTCTAGCCATTTTTCACTTATGTACATGAATTTTAACCAGAGGTTCTGCATTAACGCACCTTTTTCATGCACTTTTATTCCACTAAAAGCTGAATTGCAGGAATACACAATCTGCTGTCGGTGAGATTCATATTAAAGTGTTTGGTGGTGACAAACATTTGGGAATATCTTTGCTATAATAAAAACATTTAATAATATTTTTGAAACAAAGGGAAGAGAAGTAATAGCACTGTAATATACCAGTCTGACTTTTCTGTATTCTGTAGCAAATGACCAGTGCTGAATTCTAAATCAGGATAGTTTATAGGTAAAAGTACCTAAATGACAACAGCTGAATGAAGAACAGTTGTTGGGCTATATTAGTGCTCATATAATTTCTTAGTGATCTAATAGTGTAGCCAAGTGAGAAATATACAGCTGTTTGTGCTTTACAGCATTTACAGCATTACATATATGAATAATCTTAGCTGCTTTTGTGAAAGTATTTCCTAGAGTCAGGAAATCTCAGTTGCTGCCATTCAGTTTCAACAATTAAATTCCCAGCTACAAGGCAAGTTTTAAATAGAAGAAAATAAAAACTTCATTAAATTTATTCCAGAGTTCTGTATTAGAATTTAACATTTCTTGGCAGGTAATTCCATCAATAGTTCACACCTTATTTTGATTTTGAAAAATCCAATGTCCACAAGAATCTCTCCCACAGGTAATTAAATGTGCAAATTACAAACAAACAAACAAGCAAATAAATCTCACTCAAGTATAACATTTGACTTTTTCTTTACTTCCTGACTGCCTTTGCATCAAACAAAATTAGTCTGTTCTACTGTACAATAATTGATAGAGCTAGTAACACAAATTATCTGCAGTGAAAGGTAAAATCTATTTTTAAAACAAAAATTAAGTCTACATATGCTCATAAATTTGACCTGTGTTCTTGGAGCTCTGTGCACAGCTGCCTCTTTTATTTTTCCCAATGAGGTTTGCAGGCATAATTTCTTGGTTTATTTGTGCATTTGCATATTTACCATCAGATAATAGCATACAACAGGACAGTGTGCTCAGCATTGGACACTCACATTTTGGTATATTAATGCAGTTGTGATTTCATTAGAAAAAAAAATAAACACAGAGAAGTGCATTTATTTCTAAAACTTCTGGTTTCCCAGAAATATTAAAAGGATGCAATTCTTTTTTAAATTCAGTTTTGGAGTATTTATATAGAATCCCTAATTCTCTGCCTTCTTGTCCCAGTTCATGTAACAGGACATTTGGCATAAAATTGATGTGGCTAATTGGTGCAAGTAGAGCTACCAACATCCAACTGCTAAAACTTTTTAGTTTATGCATATTTTCTCCCTTGAATTAATATCTTAATCAGGACATTTGTGTTCAGTTTCAGTACCTAAGTTAAATTTGCAATTAATTGAGCTTTGAAAGTGATGTTGGCAAGTAATATTATCATATGCCAAATATAGATCAATTTAAAGAAAGACCAACTTTTATATAATTTTAGATCAAATAGGAAAATTACATTTGTGTGAAGGCAAAACAAGAGAACAGAAATATGTGGAGTAAAAGCACACTCTCTTCAAATCCAGCAGCACGAAGAACATCAGCACTGAGATCCTTGCCAAAGCATAGGGGTTTTTTTCCTACTGACTGGTTGAAGTATACACTGAACTACAAAGATACTCCCTTTATGGTGACAAAATCTTGGATAAGAATTATTAATCAGTGATGACTGATCTGTTTCATGGTTGCTTAGAGAGTTAATGTGAACAGTTAAGCACATTCAAAGTTGCTCATCATGTAATCCCAATGAAATCCTTCCTAAACCTTGTAAAAACATTCCCAAATCCTTCAAAATTAAGTCTCTTAATGCAATTAATCCAAATAGTTGCACTGTCCAGGGAATGTGTTCTGGTTATAAATTCCTGGTCTGCCAGTGATTTTTGAGGGTCACACATAGTTGGTACAGACATATAGTCAAATTAATTTTTGTCAGTTATCTGAAAATAAATAATGCCTTGAGTGTTTGGATTCTTTTATTAGTAAAGAGGTCTTACTTTCCTTTACAAAAAAACCCCAACACTATTGTAGCTTTGTTTTTACAGCTGCAGTTATTGTAAAGATAGAGATCAAGGAGGTTCTTAGGGAACTGCAGTGAAGTGTCAATATAAAATTATTAAACAAATTGTGAATATCAGCTTTAGTATGAGAGTTTCTTGCATTTATTTCATTGTTGCAGCCATACTAAAATGCTACAGTGTACATACCATTTTCACTAAACATGGGATATGTGTTCAAAATGGAGTAATTAATGGATTAATGGTTTGGAAGTAAAAGGGATAGTTGAGACTTAGTAGTTCTGTCCTAATTTCTACCTATTGAAAACTGATCAGAGATAAGCATATTCTTAGGGTTACAACTAATATACTAAAGAACTCGAAAGTTTCAAAGAGGACATGTTTTCAAATTAGACAGATAGAGGATGCAAAAACCACTAAAAAAATTTCCCTGGATAGTGATTAAGAGTATGACAGGTCTATGTGTCAATGACTAGTTGGCTGTAAACAAGGCACCACTCTTTTAGAAATGATAGCTTTTTATCTCTATAGCAATCCTTGATTTCCCTAAAGATAAAAAATGCAGCACCTTTGAAAACTAGTTTGACATGCTAGTTTTCAGCAGAGTAATTTTGCCATTTTCAGTCGGGAACTAGATATGGACTGCTTTCAAGCACCAAAGATCGTGCTTCTTTCCAAAGAGATCTTCATACTGTATTAATTTCATGGATTTTGCTTGAGTGAGGGCCCAGGAGCGGAAATAATCTCTCTTAAATTTGAATTTTTCTGCTGCTCAGACCAAAGGGTTAAATCCACTAGGGGAAGTTAGGATTAAAAAGAAACAGACAAGATATTCACACTCCCTAAAATTCAATAATAATCAAGGTCCATCAACTATACTATATATCTAAGGTAATGGAAAGTGTGAACTCTCTAAATAATCAGCGGCAATAGGCAGGCACCTCACCAGACAGTGATTTAGAGCAGGGGCTTCATTAGGTCTCTCTCTCCATTAGCCACACAGGGAACAATAGCAGTTCCTTCTATTGGATACCCTGCTGTGAACCTTCAAGCAGTCACCTATTTCCTTTATGGAGAGTAAGGGCAGAGTTATGTCAGAGAATATGACTCAGTTGTATGCTGAGCCAGGAAGTGCCAATGGAATTTCCTAGATGCCTCTGCAGTCTGGATTCTTAGCAGTGAAACAGCTCCTTTGGTTAGAAATCCCAGGAAAGCAATTTTTTTTTTTTTTTTTCAAAAAAGAGAATGTGACAGCTTCTTCAAGCTGCTGGAGCAATCCAATCAGTGGTGGCCCCTTTCCCTGGGAAGTGGAGAAAATTGATCCTAGAGCTTTCCTGAGAAAGTATGCAGTAGACTAGAAAAGACACTGTTCTAAGTTGTTCCTCTTATCAGAATGCTTTTTCTTTGCATAACATGCTCTGTTTTTTACTAGAGCTATGACTATCACCAAGGTGATATAGATTTCATTTAATAATTTACCTTAGCCTGGAGTTACGAAATATAATTTTCAACACATGACTTCTGAACACACCCACCTCAAACTTCATGTTTTGTAATAGAATTACCTCTAGAAAGATAGTCTGATCTAAGGCTGTGATCTTGCCATTATTTGTGACAGAGGCTTTTGAGATTATGAATTTAATTTTGGCCTGTTGGAAGTGAATCCGTGTCTTAATGATGTTATTAATAAGTTATATTCTTAAGTATTCAGTATCCGTCTACTTTTTTATATTTTTAATTAAAATGTTTTACAATAAGTATTCTTCTTTACTCCATCAGTGTACCTAGTAATCCAGTGAAAATGACAATTCCTTTGTTGACACCAGATCAACAGTCCATATGCTGCTTCAAATCATATGAAGTACTTTGAACCTGGATATATTCCTTGTTGTGTGACTGTTTTAA